CAATTGTAGCGTGGTGTCGAGTCGCGGTTGACTACGATCACCACTACAAGAAGACTACGTGCCAGTTAACCAATAAGAACCCCGCAGGCCGATATCAGAAGGCAGACGATGGCTGTTGTCGAGATATATTTATTGGCGATCTCGTGGTATCGAAAGAATACCAAGATCGTGCCAAAGGCGTACAAGCGGATTCACTGAGCAAACGCAAGCGCGTACAAGGTCGCACTCAACGGAAGAAATAATGTCTTTGGTTCAGTTAAACAAACAAGTACAGTAAAACAATCACTGGTACAATTGGTTATAGTGGTAATTGTTTCCATTACACCAGTCGAGTTCTGTTGATAAAAAAGTTTACTACGTAATAAATATGTAATCAATATGTCTATATATATGTATGTTAATAAAATTGTGGAAGTCTCGACATGATAGTTAAATTGCGTATTACAACACATACCGTTTTTGTTAGAGTATTGGCTGAACCAAGCTTTGTAGTATATTTATGATTAATTTTAAAGACATGTGTGGATTACATAATTTCTCAAAGTTAGCAGTATACGCCAGGATACAGGACTTTGATTCAAAATTAAAGAGTTTTCGGTCTGTAAACAATGTAAATGGATACGCATTAATCATTTTATCCAATCTTTAGCAGTGAACGTCAAACTCAACTCTCTCTTTTCTATCTGACAATAATTTAGTTCTGTCACATTTAGATATCTCGAGGGATGAGCTGTAGGTTTTTCCCTACAATCTGTAAAACAATAGCTGATAAGAGCATCAACATCATAATTAAAAGCATCAGCGGCAATAACTGTTTCCATTTTTCGGTTAAAGTGAGTCAATAAAAGATCAGTGGATAAGATTTTCTTAAATGTACCAGATGACTTTTGACACTTGTCTGACCATATCCATGTTATGTTAACTGTTAAGAGCTGATTTAACGGGAGGCACAGTGTCTTTATAGTCGGAAAAAATATACTATAGTATCCAATTATGCCCAAAAATGGTCGTAATGTCATCATATCAGTCAGTGAAGGCATTTGTTTAATGCGATATATATATTTCCCGGATCAAGTCGACGACCATTCTTACCGAATATAAATCCAAGACACCTAACGGATTCAGGAAATTGTTCACATTAACGTTTCGCAGTTGGAAACCAGACGCCTATATTCCCGTAAGTGGTTTATCCAAATGGGACGATAATTCTTCTTTCGAAAAGCCTAAATTAGTAATCATCCAAGTATGCTGCAACATCATCGAGTATCAATATTGTGGTATTCATTAACTGTCGAAAAATTTGTAATAAGAGAACAATCAAGTACATGAGAAACATCATTTCGTACAAATATCACATCCGTCACAGCTTTAACTGCAATCTAGATTTCTGTAATCGATTAGGTTCGCCATGTGTCTTTCTGACTGTGTATTGGATATGAACTTTGCGTGATCTACAATGTACTCACTAGTATTGGAATTAACAGTAGAAATTGGAACAGTCTCATCCGGATCCTGGAATTGTATTTGACCAGCATGTCGGTTGTATCCATTGAAATCACTGATATCTAGAATTTAAACGATAGATTTTCCAACACTATCCTCCCCCACAAAATATTGTTGGAACTTCATGCCTCCAAGTTGCAAATAATGTTGCTTTATTTGGAACATATTACTTAAATTGACTAGAGGATACATTAGAAGTGACTTTATGGTGAGAATAAACAACATTTGACATGAAATCATCCGAAATGTAATTAGGTTTGAGTTTTTTTTAACTTGATCACATTGACTTCCTTCTACAAAAAACCGGTCAGAGGAATCTTGTAGAAGTTGGGTTTAGCAAACCCTTTCAAAATTCCGTCAACTTGGAGATTGGACTACTAAGAAGGTCGCTTGATTACGAGCTGTTTAAAACCACAAATATCTTGGCTCTTGTTCAGCTCATCACGATGTCCACCAGTTATTATTTATAGCATTAACCTTCGTTCCTGGACTTGCTCATATTGATAATGTAAATCGAATTAAGCACTTTTTGCGTGTTGTATTATCTGTGTTTCTCCCACTGCTCAGTAAATCTTTAATATCTGCCATTTTGGACCACATGATCAAGGGAAACTACGGAAAGGAATCAACCATGACAGATTATTTTAGGACCACTTCAGATATAGTTACAGGAGCACGATATTCGTGTTTTACTTATTATACCAAATCTCGACGAAATCCCACGTATCATTAAGTCCCTAATAATAGTTTATGTTGATGATGCCGAAAGATGAAAAGTGGAGGAAAGAACGCTGATTGGCATAAATACATGTTTGACGAGCTTGCCAAAATGTCTAGGTCGATCGGGAGTTTCAATAATTTCAATACAGTGGAAGCTTCAGTGACTGTATTTCTGTCTCACAACAGTTCTAGGGCAATCGTAGTTCGTGACCTTAAAACCGCAGATAACTGCTTTTCGTGTAGGGCTAGAGTATTCAAAACCTTACAGGTATTAGGTTGAACCTTTAATAAGTTAGATACAAACACAGCTCTAGGTAGATACCAAATAAAAGTCTGTGTTCATATCATACGTCCCATCTAAATGGTAGCTTTGATATCCTGGAAAGAGAATAGAGAAATTGCTACCTATGTGATCCTGGAACTCCGAGACTTGTCATTTACAAAGAGGCTAGAAAAGTTGGATCACTTTACAGAGACCTACCTCAGATTTGTGTTATGACTTACTAGATCAAAATAACTGACGAAGAATATCAGATAAGGCAAAGTCGAGTGTGAAAGAAATCCTACTGGTAACAGGTTTTACAGTCTACCACTTAACTCTTGTAACATACTATTAGAAGAAATTGTGTCATCGCCTACAAATGATTAGACACTTATCGAAGCTTGCTAGGGACCGACATCTATAGTTAGCCTTCTGTCCCCAACAAACAAATTTGACTTATAGTGCTCTTTTTGGAGGAACAGTTATTTAATCTACTGAAGACATGGATTTTGAGCTGACTAAAACTGTCTTCCTTTTTCATTTTAAGTACTTAACTTAATGTAGAATACTTATAACACAATGAACCACGAACATCATATCTAAGGTGATTTTTCAAAGCTTGGGTTCAGAAGTTTTAGAATTTTACTTGACCCAATACATTCAGTTGGTTAAACTTAATTGAGTCATTGATAATTTGTTCGTAAAGCTGAAACTATGCGGGTGCCTTGAGTTTGGTCTTACGCGCTTGATTTGTCTCAGTGTCCTTCGTTTTATACCTTTCTTCCTGCATTTCATGTCTTCTGTCGTTATAACCAATAGTATACACAAATCTAAAAGTTCGTTTTACTTACAAATCAGATATGCATATCAAGAAGAGACTTCGCCGCTACATAAGTAACATTATAAGTTTTACTAATTCCCACACTCGAAACACGCTTCGTGATCGATCTGCTGATTTTTATGGTGAGATATTCTGAATAATGATGTCGATTCTTTACTTAAATTTAGGAATTGTGTCATGTGCTTAATTCGTCTAGTTCACTTTTCAAGTGCTTCAGCTTTTTAGTTCTGGTGTACACTATACATGTACGTACTGTGTTCATCAATGGGTTTGCAGGTCAAGATAAAAAAATAAACCAACCCAGCAATAATTTAGTTTTAGGGAACTGAGGGTCTTTTCATAAAAGAGATTATTATTGGCAAATCCACCGTGGAAGACGTGGAACTGTATTCGTTTGGGAAGCATACGAAAGGAATACGTCTGTTTTGTCCAATTGCCTAAAAACTGCATCGACGGAATAACTTCTTAAACCAAGGAGAGTCGGAAGTTTAGGCATAGATGGTACGGGTGTTCCACAGTATATCTATGTATCCTGCAAACAAGTGGTGGGACTATGCTTGATGGGCGGTTAAATAATATATGAGATAGAGACTAAGATTTTGTGCATGAAATTTTTTCTTCCATATAGATATATAGAATTTCAGCTGTTTAGTTGGTGTCAGTTTGTGAATGAAATCTCTAGCTTTTAGCTGTAATTTCTGATCTTGATCCCTCACTTGTGAAACTTCAGACCCATACAAGGCCACTCTAGTTCTTTTCGAAAGTCGTCCATAAATTTTGGTCTCTCCACTATCGGGTCTATCGAATATCTTATTAAATAGGAACAAAAGACAACCCCTGCCTATATTTGATACTTCTCCATACGTCGCTGCTCGTAATCAGTCCATTCTGTAAATTGATTCATATCTAAATTGTTCTTGATCCCATGTGTTAGCAAACTTCGGTTAGAAAGTGTAGGTCACGGCAAAAAACAATTTCTCTGATCTATCACATGTTTGTCTACTTGCTTCGGTTGGGCTCTCGGGCAGTATTCCAGCCGTCTAACATCGAATAATTTGTGTGGCGCATACGTATTTGGTGCTTTCTTGTACCAATATTTATGTGTTTAGGTAAATAAATAAATGTTTGTCCACTCTACTTCGAGCCACATGTTTCTGTGTAAGAATAATTCGTCGCAGCCAGTCAAATCAAGGGTATTGCACTGTTTGGACCTGCTAAATAATGTTTAGAAGACGAATTGCTTGACCACCAATTTCCGTTCTTTCCTGGAGGAATTCGCTGACTTCAGTGTATTCGGTCATCTGGTTGTCTGAGCTTCAGTCCGTTGGTAAGTAGAAATCATGTATCCTTTAACCTTTAAAATTACCAAAGCCAAAATTCGATATTTTCATGCACGTTTAATTTCTTCTCTCTTTCTTCTATCTCGATAAGTCACTAGAAATTTCGGTACAACGCAATCACTTAATACTTTCAGATGACAAGTAGGGTTTCTGAATACAGTTGAATAATATCTATGCTATTATTTGTAGCAGATACTTTTAGTGCTATTCCGAATTTATTTACTCATATGCAACTTCTTATTGTGCTTTTGCAATGAGACCAAACCTTTTAGTTACTTAATTTGATATTATACTATTAGGTTTGTGGTATTTTTTTCACCCTTTTGGGAATTAGCAAATGAAGTTACAGATGAATTGGTTGATCTCATGCGTAAAGTTTGGCTTCCGATTGTTGGTCCTGGTTATGAAATAATAGTAAGTATTTCCATAACGTATGTGCTTTTTTAAGTCTATTTTGTTGATTGCTAAATATTTCCAAGTTACATTTTAATGTCCGAATCTGTAAGCTAAGTCGAAATGAAAAGTCCTTAGGTGGGTCTTATAGCATCGCAGCCTAACGAACAGATAAAGGTGACCCTGCGCTGAAATTTCGCTCAGATAACTGATTAATTCTTGCAAGTACAAGTTTTGAAGAAAAGGAGAGATACTATCTTTATCTAGCGACCCAAACATAAATACAATGATAAACATGTATAGATTATATCCCTATCAACTATCGTTTAGACAGATCGATAGAAGACTGCCGCTCTTTCTGGAGCACATGTTTGGATTCCGACCATACCCTAGCGTGCGGACGCATTTTCAGGCGTTCTACTAAACGTAGATTCATACCAGAAAGAAGACCCCATCTATTAACTCAAAGCTGGAAAGGTCAATAACATTTTCGAAAGTGGTGACTCAATGGTTGAGGCGTTCATTTAGTCACTAGGTCCTAGGTTTGATCCTCACCTAACATACCTCGGTTTGGGCGACCGAGTACTATCACCAACCCCCACACTTAGAGGGTGAATTAATTTAATTTCAATCCAGGGAAGAGTCATCTAAACAATTAGTTGGTCGTAGATGTAGTCTTATCCGAATGGTCTCATTTGCTGATCGTCCCAATTTATGAAAATGTAGACGTAGATGTGTAAACTAAATATTCACTCTTCAGATTTTAAAACATGGACGTGCTTACCTTCGTCTAAGTAAAGTTGTATTTCTTGACTTCGAGGCAGTATTCGCTTTTGTTAACCGGAAGGTTCTGTGGTAATGTCTGTCATCAAAAGACGTACCAAAGAAGTACATAAACATTGTACCAGTTTTCTACTTTAGTCCTTTTGATCGAGTCAGAGGTCGTGGCTGTCATTAGAATTGTGTTGTGTTTACAGAATGCTTAACTAACTTATGCTTTCTACTAAAACCCCGAACCCGACGGCTCATAGTAAGAACACAAAAACTGGTGGTATAGATCCTTTTTGACCCACAAATAAATAAAATTGATATCTGAATACACTGCTTATTATACGATTTATTCACACTCAGATTCGCATCCATATTTCTATAATTGGAACTGAGTAGCACTTAACATCAATCAATCAGTGATCTTCCATGTGAATATTTGTAATATAGTGATCAAACTTCACAATGACTAAATTTTGCCATTTTGGTCTTATCATATCAAATTATCAACCTCAAGTGCTGTTATAATTCTCTCTTACGGTTATAACCCAGCTATTCCTATCGCTTAGTATTCTCGGACACAGATTCACTCGACAAGTCCTCAAATCAGAACACGGTTGAACAAGAAAGAGATTATATTCCAAATAACAAGGTTAGATGGAAGTAAGAAGCACAATAGGAAAACTGTTAGTATATTTATGGTTTTTACTTGAGAATATTTCTAGAGTGTTCTCCAAGTATTGACTAGCGCTGATTGGACAAGAATTGGCCAATCAGTGTGCGCCAAAGCAATCGTGCATTGAGCATGCTTTAATCCAACCTATGTCCCGCTAACACGTTTCCTCATCCAAATCGCCAATAGTCAAGAAGGATTCAAAACTAAGTTCCATGTTGTTACTGACTGACCTGTATTATTTGTGTGAGAGGGTTGATAATAAGACCTAATTATATATCTAGAAATAGTCTAAAGATCGTAGTACTTTACAACGATATTACAATAAGGAACGACTACAATGATTTGGGATGTGCAAAACAACATCTAGTTTTAACAATATTTACTGGGTGCTGCCACAACAGATTTTCGTGATAGGGCTCAAATCACAGACATTTTACACAAAAATAACTTTAGTTAAAGAAAAATAATGGACCGATATTGAAAATAACCAATGGATGATGAATAATTCTGACTGTCAGTACCTTCAATTCAACGATAGGTGACTATTTTGCCAATAACAACAAAGTTATTAAACAAAAATGAATAAAAGCACAGGAAATTACTTGCAAGAATCAATGATAATAGATTAACAATAAAAGGTCATATTGAAGTAATTATATGAAAGTAACTTCAAACAACCAAATAGAAACAGTTGAAACTGAATGTTATGATTAAAGCATATACTTTACGCAGAAGCGAGAAGGAAATGACGAAAATAGCTATTCCCTAACATTATGCTTTAAACAGGTGTACAAATCGAATCTATGCGGTTTTCAAAGTACAATAATATATATAACAAAGAAACACATTTTTTGGACTCTGCCAATCTTCTCCATTTTAAGTATGTATAACTGACAAGTTACAAGTAGTCACGGTTTGTACGTAACGACTAGCGATACTATCGTTTTGTTATATTTCTCTCTTATGGTTATAACCCAGCTATTCCTATCGCTTAGTATTCTCGGACACAGATTCACTCGACAAGTCCTCAAATCAGAACACGGTTGAACAAGAAAGAGATTATATTCCAAATAACAAGGTTAGATGGAAGTAAGAAGCACAATAGGAAAACTGTTAGTATATTTATGGTTTTTACTTGAGAATATTTCTAGAGTGTTCTCCAAGTATTGACTAGCGCTGATTGGACAAGAATTGGCCAATCAGTGTGCGCCAAAACAATCGTGCATTGAGCATGCTTTAATCCAATCTATGTCCCGCTAACACCTCCACTTTGAGCAGATTCGTAGGATCTGGTGCTAGGGTCCAACTGCAACCGAGTAACTGGCATGTGCTTTCGATTTGTCCATCGTCTAGGCAATAAAGAAGTATCACTCTTTGCTTGCACAGAAACTGACCTGTCTGTTCCAGGCGTTTTGATTTCAAAGTTGTCTAGCAGAACATCAAGAGGTAATCGATATTGAATCTCGTTGCTGGCTATCGAAGTTGCTTTCAATTGGTTAGCATGACATACCCAAACTTCTGAGCCAACTGACGCCTCATAAACCACACTCCCCTTCTTTTTCAAGATCCGACCAGCTGTCCATGTAGGATGCTTCCCAAATGCCCTGGTATGGCCGAGAGTGGGGAGAGTCCGCTCTCCCTCTCGAAATGCTCTCACATGGCCACGCGTATATAGCCTATGCCAGGGAAGTCTTACTCACTGCCTTCTCGTGGCGGGGGTTTTGTTTACGAAAATGAGAGGACAAAAAGCGAATTTCCGGCGCTTTAACCGGATCCCAAACCGATGGTGCACATGGGCCCCAGTATCCTGCGGGAACAAACGGCGTATGAACCAATCATTGGTCACCGGCTATCATGGGACTGCATCTCTTTATGATACTCCACTGCCTTGTGGATCAAGCCTTTAGGTCGAAGGCTCTGGGTGTGGCCTCCTAAGAAAACCACCTGCTTCGGTTTGGGCACCCGCGCATTATCACAGCTCTCACACAAATCAAATGAGATTTGTGTGGAGCATATGTATCTGGTGCCTCCTTGTACCAATATCTATGTGTTAAAATAAATAAATAAATAATAAAATGTTCCTCACGATAGTCCATAGCAAGTACTTTTTGTCCCACCGTGAACAATCGTCTTTGTGCCTCATGATGTCGATTGAACTGATTCTCCATAGATAGGTTTCGTTGAGGCTCAAGAGCTGGCGTAGGACGGATGACATCGAAATGTGTTCGTATTTTTCTGCCAAGTAGAGCTTCTGCTGGAGAGACCCCGTTAATCGTCTGAGGGTTCGGTGTAGAGCGATAAATAAGCAGGAACCTCTCTAAGATCTCTTCGCTGATCCCCTCCCTTTTAGATTTTTTAGAGCATTTTTAAATGTACTCACTAAGCGTTCTACTTGACCATTTGATTGGGGATGGAATGGAGGTGTTCGGACGTGATGGATTACGTTCTGCCGACAAAATTGTGAGAAGATTATGGACGTAAACTGTGTTTCGTTGTCACTAACTATCAATTCCGGGACTCTGAAACGACTGAATAGTTGACGTAGCTTACTGACTGTGCAGCTTGCAGTCGGGTGTTCCATGAGAAAGATTTCTGGCCACTTGCTATATGCATCAACTACCAAGAGGTAAGTTTGTCCATGAAGTGGACCAGCAAAGTACAAGTGTATACGCTGCCACGGTGACTGTGGTATTGGCCATGATTGCAGATCTGCTTTTCGCGGTGCTTTCGTTGCTAAAGCATATTTGGTATATGAACGGGATAGCTGCTCCAGTTGGGTGTCTAAATGCAGCCAGTATACAAAACTTCGTGCTAATGCTTTCATGCGATTTATTCCAGGATGTCCTCCGTGCTTCGCTTGATATGTGGAGGTCTCCATAATCCAGTCGGCCACCAGAAAGGCGACAGTAGATAGCTTTGTCTGATACTAGTCTTCACTTGGATTGCGTACGTGGGCTTATCTCCATACACGACTTTGTAGTGTAGTCTGTTGTAAGAATTCCGTACGATAATGAAAATTTTTTCAGGTACACCATAGTGTCTAAAAAGCTTCCACAAGATTCTCCTATCCACACTGTGAAATGCTTTCCCATAGTTAATAAGATTGATGTATGGCGACCAGTTCCATCCACTCGATTGTTCAACAACGATCAATAGTGTCGTGATGTGGTCTGTAAACTATCGATCCTTACGGAATCCTGTCTGCTGTTCTCGAAGTTGGGCGTCCACTGAATCTTTCATCCGGTTCAACAACACTGTTGATAACGTTTTCTGATACTGATAGTAGTGTGGTACCTCTGTAGTTCTCACACTTACTGAGTCTCCTTCCTTTGGTACTTTGATGAAGCATCCTACTTTTCAGTCTATCGGCACTTATTCATCCTCCTAAATCTTCTTGAATATGATATGGAAGAGGTTTGCAGTTACTTCTATGCCTGACGTCAGTGCTTCAGCTTGTATGTTGTCTGATGCTGTTGGTTTCCCACTGTTGATTTTTCTGGTGGCTATGCTGAGTATTCCTATTGTTTGTGGGTTGACATCTATAGAGAGGTTTGTGTATGTTGCTTCGATGTTTTGTGGTTTCAGTGAGTCTGGTCTATTTAAGAGTTCTTCAAAGTGTTTTGCCCACCTGATCCGCTGTTCTCGATCGTCATTGATTGGTTCCCTATCTTTGATAATGCTCCTTTACTCTCTCATTCGCTTCTGTGTTTGGTTTGTGCCTCGTCTTTCTTTGCTCTTGTTTGGTTGTGATTTAATACTGTTTTCTTGTTCGTAATTTCTTGGATTTTGCCACGAGGTGTCAACAAGGATCCATCTTTCATGAAAAACAAACCACTATCATTAATAAAATTATCTGTTAAAGTTATTTCGACCACGAAATGGATTAGGCTGTTACAAATTTCTTATGAATACAAAGATTTGTATTGTTTGCTTGGATCCTTATGACTCCTATGTGTAAGGAACAAGATCAAACGCCATATGAAAAACTAGTAGGTATACGATAAATTAATCTCAATGATTTTTTCTTATCTACTTTCATCTATATTAGGTTTTACATATTCATAAATCTCGCGGAACATCAAATTTGGGCATAAGCATAGAAGGTGTGACCTATGTAGCAGAACCAGATTTTGATCATGAAAATTTATCATCTACAATGGTTACAACTAGTAGTCAAATTAAAGATAAATCTAATTTAAGTAGTAAACTGTTACCAAATGGTATAGCAAAATCTGCTCATTCAAATGATATCAAGTTTAGTGATATGCCATCACGCCATTTCGTCCAATATATTGTACCTGATGGTCTGGTCGGTAGTTTGGGTGTTGTGCAAAAGGGTGATGAGTTACTTCAGGTAAGAACATACCTATTTTCGAGGAAAAAATTATGGTTGGATTTTGAGTACCGAGTCTAAGAATTATTGTGTAGTCAGTGATGTCGTGTCATTGACTTGTAGAACGTCTGAAAAATATATAGTCTCATCTTTTTACCCACAATTAGTCTTGTGTTCTTTAGCTTCTGGGACTCATATTTTATTCTATTTAAAATTTGTGAGCTGGATGTACGTATTCCTTATTTTACGCTCAGCGTCCATTCTCATCTGTACGTTAAAAATCATACACCATATCTACGCAAGTAAGATAAGCGTTTAACTTCATTTCACGAGTTCATTCTTAATGTATCGACCACATTTGCTAGTTTGTAAAACATTTTTTATTTTGTATTAGTGATATTTATGTTATCCACTTCGGCTACATGATTCGCTTATCAGTGACTATTTGTTCTAAGTCATTTAGTTTATCAGTATAAGGGTTCGCGGTGATCGCAGTATTTTCGCAGTTGAAGTCACGAGCCGATCTAAGCTAGACCACCACTGAAAACCTAAAAGCACTTCACAGCCGTTTCGTCCTAGCATAGGACTCCTCAGCAGTACTCGTCCACAATCTTGGATGCGGGATCCAGGGCCTTCGATTTCGTGCTCAAACAGTTAACTTCTAGACCACTGTACCAGCATCCTACAGTGTTAATGTCCAACATTAATCAATCCATGATCTTGCATAACCTTTCATCCATCGCCTGAGGTGGATATCTGTCTCGCATCCGACACGGATTTAACTTCACTGGTCACGACTTCTTACTAAAACTCCACATAGTTTATCCATTTATTTTGTGAATTAATTCAAAGATCGTGCGACATTGGTAACATCTTTGGTCTTAATGTTTAGCAAATGTAGGGTGATGAAACAGTATCTGATAATGAATGATAATTTACAGTTTTAATATGACATTTATGATTTTTATGGTCTTATAGTTATTATTAATGGGGTTTTGATTTTTTAAATGGGTTGCCTAATCTTGTCGAATATTCCTTTAATCTTTTTGTCTGTGTTTTACTCCATCGTCTTGAGATTTTTTCATTACTGGTAATGATGGTGCTTAATGTTTCTGATTTTCGTATACTTTTCAGGCTAATGGTCATCGTATACATGGTACAACGCATACTAGTACTCTTCGTTATTTGCGCAATTTACCATCACGCATTGAATTAGTCTTTGCTCGTAGAAAATCTACATATGAGAATGGAGGTGATGACGTGTTTAGTATTACGGGCGGTAAGGATCAGTTGATTGATGTTGCAGGGGAATCACTACTTGAAGTAGCTGCTAGTGAAATTGGTTCTGTAGATACTGGTTCATCTATGAGAATAGTGAATACTTACGATAATGTTGATCGGTCAATTTATTCTAGTCCAGTGTCGCCGGCTACGGCCCATAAACGTGTCACCGAATGGATTCGAAAATCTCAAGGAGATTTATGTGCGACTATTGACTATTCATCTTCACCTGAATCTTCTGTAACTAAAGAAACTAATAATAAATCACAAAGATTTAATTGTTGTGATGTAAAAGTAAGTATTCATTTGCAGTACATTTACTGAAATAATATTTGATATTCTAAAGACCAAATTGTCATTAGAAGAAAATACGCATCTCGTTAGAGCTGTATATGTTTAATAGCTGTTATGTTTATCTAGTCAAACTTTAGGAGCAACTATTTTCTAACTGCAATTATTGCAACATATTTTACATTTTTTAGATTTGTTTTAATTAACTTTCCATAAACGTTATCCATATAGTGTATTTCCACACTTTTCTAAATTCCTGTAAAGCTTATTTTTTAACGATTTCAAACAGAACTATAACATCAGTTACCATATATTCCCCCTTTTCTGTTTTTCGTAGGAACAAAAGACGATTATATTTGAATCGATGCCTTATATATATATAATAGATGGAACATGGATAGCAGTGGAATTCAGGACGTGAGTTTCATCCTATTTGGGACCCGTCAACTGGATGTACCTACATTTCAGTGTTAATTTTCACTCTGGGATTCAAACCCCAGTACCTTCTCGCTTCAAACACCAACGCGCTATTCACTTAATCACTGACTTCCAATAACCACTAATTTGTGCAATGGGGATGGATTTTAATCCAACTTATAATAGTTATGATTATCTCGTTTTTGATACTTCCAGTGCAATTCTCTTATTCCCAGTTGACTATGTCCATCGTATGCGGATTGCGTCTATATAACTATAACGACAAAAGTTTACATGGACTGGCCAAATTTCAGTAAAAGTATCAAAAACGAGATAATCATAACTATTATAAGTTGGATTAAAATCCATCCCCATTGCACAAATTAGTGGTTATTGGAAGTCAGTGATTAAGTGAATAGCGCGTTGGTGTTTGAAGCGAGAAGGTACTGGGGTTTGAATCCCAGAGTGAAAATTAACACTGAAATGTAGGTACATCCAGTTGACGGGTCCCAAATAGGATGAAACTCACGTCCTGAATTCCACTGCTATCCATCTCTTCTGTGTAGACCTGTGTCATAATGAGTAAATCGAGGCAATCCACACATATACTAACTAATACTGATCAAATTTCAATTAACATATTGACAATGAGATAATCCAAACTATTAAAAATTAAATCATTATTATTATTATTAATAATGATTCCTTGGTCAATATTTACCGAAATGAATTCTTTCATTTAGATGGTTCGGCAGTGATCTAATAACCTATGGATAGTTTTCATTGGTGTGCTTATATATTTGTTGTGCATAAAATGAGTATTTTGGAAACTAGTCCACTGATGTTCTCTTAGAAAGAGGTGACTTGTGGAGTCACCCAAGTTGAAAGTGAGTCAGCTACCTACTGATGACTTTGGATGACTATTAGACCATACTGTGAATTGATTGAAGTTAAGATGTGTAGACTTTTGGCTCGTGACTTACTAGTTATATCATTTCGTGTTCTTTAGTGGAGTGGTTACTTCAAAGTCCAAAGTCGACTACATACACCTGTACTTAATAATTGAGGTAAGTTATGTGAAGCCAACTAAATAGATCTACGCTAAGTAAATGTTTTGCTACTTCAAAGATCAAATGTTTATACTAATTAACTTGATTAAATTTAAAATGTACGAATAAAATACGGTTAGAATGTAGCATAGGGAAAAGTGTAAAGCAACCGCGGCGAATTTCCTGCCAATTCTTAGCCTGTCAGAGAACAGCTTTAGTAAGTGGATAGTTTATGGTAAAGAAAACAATAATATAAAATATAAACAGACTTTGTATGACCATTAAATTTAGTAGTCTTCTACTGGTTACTCTGCAATGTATAAATTCGTCCATCTGAATATAGATTACCTGTCTTCTCGAATTCTTATAATGACCCAGAATCTTTTAATTTCCTATATCGTCCTTGGTTAGGGTTAGGACTATTGGTTTAGGTTTAGGCTATCATCACCAATCGACATTAGCTACGATACAAAAACGCTTTTTAGTCATAGGGATGTATGGATTTCGCGCAAAAAGCCAGATCGGACTAATTCGTTTTAAAATTATATTACCATTAGACTAAGGTTTGTTTCACGATTAAAGAATAGCATTGATTTGCCTGTTATATAAAATCTACATAGAAAGGATTAAGCATTTGATACGTTTAACATTATCATTTTTACTCTGATGACAAAAGTGATTTTTCGTTTTCGTTTCAAATGTCCTAAGGACTATACAACGGTATTTCTGCTAATTCCATGTAATTTTTGAAGTTTGCCTGAGAACCTGAAAGTTGGTACCTTGTTTGTAATTGGCTCGTCCCTTCACTTTACTTTTACCTAAATGTTTATTAGTTTTTGTTCACTGGTCTTTTCCTCAACCAGTCGAATATGTGTACACACTTCGTGTTCTTTTTTTAAAAAATCACTTTAAATTCCTTAAGGTCACTTTGCCTACCTGATAAAGTTTCAGTGTAGTTTTTGTTGTTATTTTTATGAGTTTCTATGATTTACTAATAAGTCTTCATTGAATATTTTATGAAATATTTAGGCGTCTACCATCTAATCCTTTTTAATGGTTTAGCTCTATTAAGTTATGGTTAGCATGAAACTTTCAGCATCCCAGTTATGATACCGTGTATAATGAAAGAATAGTCTTCAAACATGGACTTTGAAAATATTAACTACATAAAGCACTACGTTTTATAAACCGCATTTTATCACAATAAAACTTGAAAGTATAAGATTTACTAATATTAGACAATTTTCGTCTTTGTGAAAGTTTTCTGAACTGTACAAGATTGAGTTGAATGTCATTTTAGTTCACAGCTTTTTATCTATGGGAACACTTCATTCTACACTGGACACTTTTAGATCATTTAGTTGGAATATGGTGGTCCATATCCTCAACTTCAGTTGAGATATAATAGGACTGTCACTCATTGTCATGGATAATCATTGTTTCACTCAATATGATTGGACTCAAAGGTCACTGTTTCATTTAGATATCTAGAAACCCATTACTAAGCTAGTCACGGTGTGGCCATTTTCTCATCCTTCTTGATGGGTACTGAACAAGGAAAAAATTATTCAACGGTTCCTTGTTTAAATTACTCAAATACATATAAGATGTTAATTTTTTTGAGAACATCATACTTCAAATGAACTCTTAAGCTTTTTGTTTATCCATATCGTTATTATTACCATTATTGAAATATAATTTTAATAGATCGTGTTAAAGAAATAATCAGAGTTATGAAATATTGATATGTTTATGTTCATGGAATAGTCATTTAAAAGTACTTATGTATATGTACATACATATATACTTGTGCTTTATCCTTATGAATTGTACTGACTGTCAAGTTTTGATTGGTTGATTTACTTTTACTACTGTTGTTTCTTACTTTACCTAAAAGTAGGTTAAATATTTCGCTATGTTTTCTATTAGCAGTAAAATAACGTTCTATATTTATAACAGAAAGTTTTTATTGGTACCAGGATACATGAACTTGAAAGTCCCTCGCTATATATATATATATATAAACACTCATTCATAATCTTAATGCGCTTTTTCTTTCTTGTAAGTGAGATTGCTTTTAATTTTAGTTGACTTATTATTACTGCAGTTGCATGCTTTCATGTAGTTTATTTCTTCTGGTTTTTCGCCTAATGTTTGAGAGTGTTTGGCTGTTCAAAAACTACACGTTAGAGTGCTTTGAAATCTGATTTGGAGCTGAATACTTACAATAGACAATATTCTACTGTTTAAAGTACAATACACTAGGCATTCCAATATCCAAAAAAAGTGTTTCTAGCAATGTTTTTGTCGACGAATCTTTATGTTCTGTTATTCCTAAATTGATCATCTAAGTTAGTGAATGTAGTTACTTAATTTTACTGAATGTTTTTATGGTGCATTCTAATAAGGTGGATGGCGATTTTTACTTGTCTATATGTATATACTACTGAAACATATCAGTGATATAGCGGCCGTAACTCTTCCTTTTCCTAAAACATATTTTAATATGAGAAAAGAGTTATCCCAGTATGTGATGGGAATCTGAGATATGCAGGTAGTATGCGTTGTGTTTCCACTGAATAACTATATGTTCATGGTAATAATATGGTTTAAGTATATTCCGTTGTTCGCTTAACAACATGTATTATCTAAGCTTTGGTAAACTTCACTATATGCTTTTAGAAATACACAACTTCACAAATCAGTGTTGTAATGATTATCATTAGTTGTAACGGTTTTGAATCCTTCTTGACTATTGGCGATTTGGATGAGGAAACGTGTTAGCGGGACATAGGTTGGATTAAAGCATGCTCAATGCACGATTGCTTTGGCGCACACTGATTGGCCAATTCTTGTCCAATCAGCGCTAGTCAATACTTGGAGAACACTCTAGAAATATTCTCAAGTAAAAACCATAAATATACTAACAGTTTTCCTATTGTGCTTCTTACTTCCATCTAACCTTGTTATTTGGAATATAATCTCTTTCTTGTTCAACCGTGTTCTGATTTGAGGACTTGTCGAGTGAATCTGTGTCCGAGAATACTAAGCGATAGGAATAGCTGGGTTATAACCATAAGAGAGAAATATAACAAAACGATAGTATCGCTAGTCGTTACGTACAAACCGTGACTACTTGTAACTTGTCAGTTATACATACTTAAAATGGAGAAGATTGGCAGAGTCCAAAAAATGTGTTTCTTTGTTATATATATTATTGTACTTTGAAAACCGCATAGATTCGATTTGTACACCTGTTTAAAGCATAATGTTAGGGAATAGCTATTTTCGTCATTTCCTTCTCGCTTCTGCGTAAAGTATATGCTTTAATCATAACATTCAGTTTCAACTGTTTCTATTTGGTTGTTTGAAGTTACTTTCATATAATTACTTCAATATGACCTTTTATTGTTAATCTATTATCATTGATTCTTGCAAGTAATTTCCTGTGCTTTTATTCATTTTTGTTTAATAACTTTGTTGTTATTGGCAAAATAGTCACCTATCGTTGAATTGAAGGTACTGACAGTCAGAATTATTCATCATCCATTGGTTATTTTCAATATCGGTCCATTATTTTTCTTTAACTAAAGTTATTTTTGTGTAAAATGTCTGTGATTTGAGCCCTATCACGAAAATCTGTTGTGGCAGCACCCAGTAAATATTGTTAAAACTAGATGTTGTTTTGCACATCCCAAATCATTGTAGTCGTTCCTTATTGTAATATCGTTGTAAAGTACTACGATCTTTAGACTATTTCTAGATATATAATTAGGTCTTATTATCAACCCTCTCACACAAATAATACAGGTCAGTCAGTAACAACATGGAACTTAGTACGTACGTACATCAGTTCCAGTTGACATACCACATTACCACAGAGATGCAGTTATCGATTCAAATCCCGTATAGGTAGAGGTAGTGAAAATACATTTTGAAGTCTAATGCTTAGTTTTGTAGCGAGTGCCTATGCAATACCGGAAAACTAGATAAACCTTATTCTTCTAAGATGAATAGAGATACTTTTCTTTGCATAAAGAATAATATCAATGATGTCTCTCAGTATGAATCTGTATATTTAAAGCAATTAGTTCCTTTGATAAATTTCGATAATGTAATAAGATAATCTCCGTCTTCTTATTACACTATCGGAATCTGTATATCCAAAGCTGGAAAAATCGATTGGACCGTTGGAATAAAATTGTTTATATTTCATTTATGTATGTTTTTGTAATTCGGTGTATGTGTTTAGTATCTTTCTTTCAATTAAAGTGATAAACGTATAGTTAGAGCAGTTGACATTTTCTTAGGTCTCAGGCACTCACCCTGCTGAACCAGGTTCAGTTTTGGCAGCCAGGTGGTATCACTGACCCTAATATTTAAATACAATGTAAACCAAAGCTAAATACGTATATCTATACCTACATTTCGTAAATTACTTATAGTAATTAATTCACACTTTCTTTTAATTACTGATTTTCTAGCACCACCTCAATAATTATGTAAATTCGAATTACACTAGTAAATTACAACAACAGTATCCAGTAAATACAATGAAAAACAATCGTAAATATTCATTACCCAGTACAGTAGAGCCGTCAGAAACACAAATACATTCTAGGACTCTAGGGCGTTTACCAATATCAAGATGTGGTAATGTGTGTATGGAAAAACAATCTGTTGAACAACACGATCATCGCCGTTGTCAAACTTTACCACATTATCATCATAATCGCTCAAATCGTATTGATCCTCGTTACGGTTTTAAACGACCATGTTGGTCTTCAGTGCCTTTAATTATTCAACTGAATAAAACATCTCATGGTTTTGGATTTAGTATAGCTGAATATGAGGTGAGTTTTGTTAAACGAAAATATATATATATATATATATATATATATATATATATATATATATATATATATATAATGAATACTGAAAATTGATGATAAAGGACTTAGTTGTTTAATTAAGCCTCTTACCGCTATTCGGGCATAAGCCGCTCACCAGGAACTAGCCCCTCATAAAACTGATATTCATCATCTTCGTTACTAATGTTGGTGAGCTCATAGTTCTGGATAAATTTCACTAAATTTTCCTCTTTGTTTTGAAAGGTGTTTTGATGTTCATGGATCCATGAGATTCCTACCGTATAAGTGCTTTTCTCTCTTGAAGTTAGTCGTTTTTGTCCAAATTGTGTTTGATGAGCTCCACTTAATCCAAGGAGATGGCAGCTGCATCTCGTCATTTATGTGCCTATTTGAATGACCTCACAAGTCACATATATTGCACGAAAATTCTGTGTCCCCATGTTTACTGTTGCTCTGGCTATTAGAAGCGGTATCTTCCCTGTAGCTTCTTGCGATTATCGACTTTTATCATGATGCGTTTAAACTCTTCTACATGAAGACTTTTGAACTCCCACCTAAGAGTTTTGATGGTTCGGTTGGTTCACTTCTTTTAACGAGCTTTTTTGCAAGGTGGTGTTGCTAACCCTGCACTCAACCTCTCGCAATCTTGCTTTTGACCAGCAGTAACTGTAAAGGATTTCCAGGTGAATTTATGGTGATGGTCATAACACAAATAAATGTTTACTTATAACTTTACGTTGTACCACTATGTGTGTTCATGTAAATGAGTTATTTTATTGTTACTAATTTTTTGATCCATTTTTAATAGTGTCCGAAAATAACACTTATTTTTGTTTCTTATATGGACATCTTTATAGGAACTACCTGTTACTGACTTAGAAGGCAATACACTCCGTAAAGCTTGTTCACTTGATAGAAGAAGTTCTAATATGATTGAATCTGATCGTCGATCATTTCATTCCTATCGTTCTACGGGTTCTACCGTTGCATCATTATCGTCGTTACCTGGTAAGAATTCAAAATCTTCCAGTAGATTGAAACGAAGATCCACGTGGTCTAGTCGCTCCAAATCACACGGTATCTTATTAGTTGATAGTTTAACTCCAGGTGGTATTGCACAGTTGGATGGACGTATATCAATCGGTGACAGGCTGTTATTTGTTAATGATAAAAATTTAATGAAATCTAGTGTATTTGAGGCCGCTATCACACTAAAGTCCCTTCCTAATGGACCATGTTTAATTGGTATAGCAAAAATGCAGTTGGAATCAAATGAAACAGATGACATTCATGAAAAAAGCCAACAACAATTACTATTGCCATACCCTGTTGTCTCTTCTAGACCTTCTGTGATTGGCATGTTTCGAGATACTGGTGAGATGAAAAAGATCAGTGTTAAGTCTGATCTAGCATATCCATTACACGTAAACACTGGTGATAGCACTATCAATAATGACGATAATAATACGATTATGGTAAGTATTATTACATGGTGTTTTTAAGTTCGTTGTGCTCATATCTTGTATTGTTTATGTTATGTAAGCTCTTTTTAATGTATCTCCTCATTTCTGCAGCAATTTGGAAAACTCTCCCAGTCTCCCACATTGTGCGAGCATTCCATGTACCTAAATAAATGGTTGCTCTGGTTGTCAAAATGGGCATCGGCCTCGTGACTTCCAAAGAAACTCGGCTTTCATCATGAGGCGTCATAATTCTTCTAAACGAAGACCTCCTGACTCCCAGGACAGAGCTTAAATGGTTTGAATACTTTTTTCTGGTTAGCGTTTTTTTAGCGAGTTAGTTTTCTACGGGATGGGGTCGCTAACCCCATGCCCAACCCTCCTTTATCCGGGCTTGGGACCGGCAGTAGCCCCCCGAAAGGGACTCCAGGCGGAGTTAAGCTCTTTTTAATACCCAAATTTATAATTGCTCCTGTATGTTATAAGACTGTGCTGAACGAAAAGTCTTAAGATTATACGTAAATGAACCAAGTTTTTCGACTAGCTTATGGAATTTTATCGAAAACTAATTTTTTCTGGCGTAAATGTTGCATAACGAGACGCTACTCTATCTCTTGGTACTATCATGTTGGCTGAGATAAACAATCTTCTGCCAACATTACCTAGACTAAAACTTTAAACGATGTTTGATAGTTCGTAATCTACTTTACTCAAGTAGGTATCATTACCAAGGTTTGATTTGATAATTTCGAATAAATTGAGCATTGGGTAGATTGTTGTGAATAAATAAATAATATATTTGTAATATCCGAATGAGTAGAAAAATTCGATTATCTGACGTTTCGTGACTTAGTGTAGGCCACTTTTTCAGAGAATAAATAACCAAAACAAAATTAATACAAGTTTAAATAGTACAGACGGAACAATACAAGAATATTTTAACTTGGATTGATTTTGTTTCGATTATCTATTCTCCAAAGAAGTGGCCTACACTAAGTCACGAAACATGGTATGATTCACTGTTCTATATGCAAATTAACTTTTAATGTAGCTTGTATCGTATTATACCCTATTATTTCGCATGCATCCAGTCGATCGTAGATACAGAGCAGTGCAGTAGTGGTTTGGAGGGAGTTGTTTACATTTTTGCGTATACAACTGGGTGAAGGTGAGATATCTTAGCTGTCTAAAAGTGGGCTTGTATCCACAACGCATGTGCGCCATGCTTTTCTGGAATGATAAATACCTCTGTAAATAGTTTACTAAGTTTCATTTTTTTATTTGACAAGTCATAAAACAAGTATCAATGTTTCCTGCTAATGATTTTTACACTGAAGTAAGGCCTTTGTTTGACCTTTGACCTTTCAACTTTAACTGATTGGTTCATAATCATTGTGATATGTTGGCGATTGATAGAGAAAAACAAAACAGAACATAATCGCGGTAGTATCAAAGAGCTGTTAACTCAAAAGTTTACACGAGTACCGTATAATTACTAATTGTACTTTTTGTATTTATTTTCTTTCCTGTTCGCCACCTCTCCGGGAATAATAAAATTTTACGTCGATGACCATTCTTCGTGGGTATATGCAATGGTGTTTATGGTTGTTGTGTACACACTAACGTGTATATATATATATATATATATATATATATATATATATATATATATATATATATATATAATTGTTTTATTTTGGTCAATCTAGTCAAGGCATGAAATAACTGCATGCTTTGATAGTTTCAGTGGAAGTATAATGCGTACTGTATATTCATGCCCTTCTTTACAAAGGCATTTACCCGATTCAGCATTTAATTTACGTGCAAGTATTACCGATAATGATAATAATTATGATAAATATCGTATGCCTTCCATAAATAAAAGGTTGCTTACTGGAAATAGTATGAATCAGTTGCAACAACAAAGTGAATCTTTTTGTTGTTCGAGATCACCAACACCTAATCATCCGAACCCTTTACTTTTGAAAACTAATCTTTCTTCTACACACCAAAAGTGTAAAAGTTATAGTTATATTGAGCAGTTAGGAAAATACACCAATCAACACTATTTCCATCGTCGTCATTCTTACCCTATGTGTACATTATCTGAATGTGGACAAAGTCATACGATCCACGATATTCAGAAGTGTCTAAATACTAATAACATCAACCAGTCACCTCTTCATTTAGTGCATGAAATCGTCCAAAAAGCAGTGGATTTAACTAATTACGAAGTGTTGGAGGATTCAATGAGATCGAATTCAACTACCGAACGGAATTGGTTCATCTCATCAACGTCATCGACAAAAGCAGGAACAGCAGATTCAAGTCAGTCATGGACACAATCTATTGTTTCTGGATTCTTAACATCTTCGAACGTTAACGTTGATGATAGCAATATTAACAGATTAGGTACTGATAAAGTAGATCAAATTCTTACTGATCATCACTCTACTTCATCCTTGGTCTCTAGAAGTAGTTATTGCACTACTGACAACAATGCTAGTAGTACTCAATATTTAGCCGATCAGCTTGTTATTCAATCCATTTTAAAAGCTTTGAAATACTTGGAAGATCACAATACCAACAATGATGGATTATGTAATTCTTCTGTTACATCATCTAGTATTCCGCATCATATTTCCACGCCAACTAAAGCATCCACAATTGAATTAACTTCAAAGAGTAGAGGGTTTTCAGTACCTAATAGATACCAACTACTTTACATTACTCAGAGCGGAGATGTAAATAATGGATCGGATTGGTGTTCTGCATCTAGTAAATTGAGTAGTTACTATAGATTCCAACTTCTCTCGGACGAAAATGGTCATAATAATGTTGACAATAGGGAAGTGGATAATAATAATAATAATAATAATAATAATAATAATAATAATAATAATAATGCTATCATCATAAGAAGTGATAAAACTGACGATAATGATGAAGAAGAGGATGTGAAAACAGAGTGCGATTTATCTACAAGCTCATCAGTCTCTCTCTCCCCTTATGCCCATCCAAAAACTATGTCCTCATCCATTGAATCTGATCATCTTGAGTTCAATCATTTACACTTCGAGTCACTTTTCATTCATAGTTCTTATTCATCACCAAAATCAACCAGGCCCAATGAGCATGCGAACAATAGTAATAGTAGTATTAATTGTAATAACAATAAGACAGTTGATAAACATAATTCTGAGAATTGTGTTATTGAACATGATCATGATGCTTCACAGTCACGTTTTGCTGGTGAATATCTGAATATTTCTCCAACATCGAACCAGTGTAGTCGTCACCGACACCGATCAGGAAGCCATGATAATCATGCTAACCTGGACAATCAAATTACAAGTGAAAAACATGAGAAGCTTGATATAAAGGTCTGTAGTCGTTGTTCATCTAAGTAATTCAGTCACCATTACTATACTGCATGTAAATAAAATCAAGAAATATTGTATTTGATTAACGTACCTTTTCTCTTTAGTACCTAATCTCTCAGTTACTATTGCTTTTCTTGTGCATTTTTGAAATTAAAACCAGTATGTCATTGTTCTACTGTGAAGTTTTAGTGTCTAAAGTCTCTAGTTCTTTGAAATATTAAGTATATTGACGATGTAGCAATACGGGTTAATCATGTCTCTGATTTGTTGGCGTGTTATATTTCATGAGTAAAGCATTCCTGGTCAGTATTAGTGTGCTTTTTCACAGGTTACCACACACTTCATTATTAGCTGCGTATGTTTTTGTGCACCGATTTTCGTAATAAATTAATGTTTAGTTTCTAACAGTTTACCTGTAATAGAACTTCCGTTAATGTCACATTTCTCACATGCATCAAGTTTTTGAATATTTAATGTTTTCGTTTTTGTAGCATTTCTTAATTAATATACTGCATGATCGGGAATAAAGACAAAAAGAATGTCTAAACTGTTACTGAGAGATTTTTTTCTTTATATACTCACTTATTTGTCAGTTTACCATGTTGTCATTCTGTTGTTTTGCATAAACTGTGTTTTTTATTTTCGCTGATTTGAGTTTGTCACCTTTTCATTATAACCCCGTTTTGTTGAAAAATATGTTACATCGAACGGTTGTTCTTCTTTTATTGCTCTGATGATGTAGATGTATGACGAAGTTGTTACTGATGGACATGTGTGTGTGTGTCATTTCCTAATTTTGTTCACACATACATACATTACAATAGAATTACTTTTTTAATCTATACACAAGTTTACAAGACGTTGGTTGTGATATATATGTCTGAAAAGATTGTCAAAATTGAAACAGATACAATGTTATTTTTAGCTTTTGTTGGTCAGTCAGTTAATAAACATTATTAGCAGCTAAACTGTTACTATTTAATGCTCGTTTTTTCAGCATGACTGTTCTGATATCTAGTAGCTACTGAGAAGCTAGAAAATTGGAATTCAAGTTATAAACTAAGTAGATCTTCTCTTCAAACCTGAAAGTTATAGGCTTTATTCTATATGTAGTGTCGTGTATGATCACTATTGAAATACCACAAAGTACCATGAAATAAATGTCATCTGCTATCTATTTTCAATTATTCTGCAATTTGTTTGAGCATATGAGTGTACGTATGACTGATTAACTGAGTGAACTCATGCATGGACAGATCCCCATGAACGATCAACCTAATTATATACTCTTATGTTCTAGTAAATAGTTGTAGTATAATAGCTGAGACTAATTATTTAAAGAGTGAGGCACTTACCCTCAAATGAGGTTAAGTGACACACGCTATATTGTAGATTAACTGGAGTTTTAAAGTGTGAAACTATATTCCTTTCTTAAATGATATCTTCCTTACTAAATTAATCGATGACCCAGAGTGTTCGATCCTGTACAGAGACAGCGGTCCGGTGTGCTGTGGAGTCCTGAAGTTGAACGAAACTATTATTCTGTGCTCATTATCTTCTTATTGGTTCTCCTGATAGTATTAGTTCGTCATGGAAACGATCTTTAAATTCAATTAAGAAATTTTACTGTTTTGTATTGGTTACTTATGTGGGATGTTTTGAGCGATGAATCAGTTTACACTCAATAATCATTCATTTCTTTTCACATTTTGTATTGACAAAGCACTTGAATATTATCTTATCCTATGAGTAACTTTTAGTTTTTTGCTCCCGTTTCAATATCTTTATTGATCAAAATGTGAGGATCATGTGCAAGTCTTGCATCATAAATTGTTTTCTGGTTAGTCATTTATCGTTTGTTGTCCTATTTTTATGATATTGCATTCATGCATGAATTAGTGATTATCAGCATGAACGAACACTTATCTTGTGATATGATGTCCTTAATTTATTTTGCAATCCTATTTTAACAGAATGGTTTCAATGCTACTGGATCTGAAGATTTGGTAAGTTTATTTATGTATTTGTGTTATTGTTCGATACATTTCAACGTAATTTGGTTTCTTTTCCACGCACGGTTCTTGTTACACCTTTTATTGTACGCTTAAGTGCTTCATTAGCAACTATTCTTTAATTTGTGCTTTAACCGTAATGTCAATCTTATGATTGAAAAGATTCTTTTTCTAACTTGCTAGATATATAAAATTGATGCTTACTTGAGTTTTTTAATATCCTTGTGTCCACTATTCCAGTTCATCATCTGTGATGGTGGTGACAATAAAATTCTGAGCCGTAGTTTATTATTTGATACGATTGGCTTTCGGCTAAGTGTCGGTTGTACTGCTCCTTCAGTTTTTCTACATTAAGTGCCTTACTCAATATGTTTTACTAGCTCCAGAGGGGTCAATTTACGGAACATTCGTTTATTCGGTGTATTACAAAGTCATTAAAATACAGTTACAAACTACAATTCGGCTGTCTAAATTCAAAGCATTCAACAAGCCTAGACGTATGTTGTTTTCCTGAGTATACTTTGAATTGAATTACCTCTGAAACTTTTTTGTACCCAGTCCGTTTGTAATCGTGAAATACAAGTCTCTTAAACTACATTTTATTTAAGAAATGAATAACTGATTCAGCCACCAGTCAGTCACAATGTAGAACCGGTACGTATGTACATCGGTTCAAGTTGCCGTACCCTATTAGCACAGAGAGATGAAGTTGTCAGAATAGTAGATTAGTAACAGTATCAGTGGTGATAGGAAAGATTAAACATTGAAGATACAATAAATTAGTGAAATAAATACTCCGAAACGGTCATGAGGAATCACGAAACTCAGAATTTAGAGGAAGACAATGAATGAATCCATCTGCGCCATTGCGAACGACTTTAAGCCATGTCATTCAAAATATCTAACCACTGACTTCAGTAATCACGCAGACGACATCCAGGTAGATTATTCCTATAAGCATGGCTAAGTCCGATTATCAGTGACATTATGGACGTGCGATATGCTTTGGTTTGGGTTCCCTCTTCTCCAGGTAACTTGTATGGCCTGGTGGGACATAAAAAACACTTATTCCTGCCATTATAGTTCCGTCGAGTCATCATGATAAGGGAAAATCCCGTATGACATCATTGTAGCACTACATTCGTCACTCCACACACCACAAAATGATAATTCATCGGCACTTATGATTACAATGAGTTTATTAGAAAATAATGTTTGTGGAAATTGTCCAATTTGAGAAAAATGTTCATAACGTACTGATTAGTTAAATAACCAAACAAACTTGGGCGGTTTATGTAGTTGTTTTGTTTTAGTATGGCATACATCGGGAACTCACACTTTTGGTCTCCAGGTATCTAACTCACAATTTTCAAGTTTCGCTGTAACTGCCTTTTATTTTATACCACTCATTTAACATCCAGCTGTCCACATTTAAAACTTCAGTCAGTTCGTTCCACGTCTGTAAAGCCGTAGTCTGCGTGGTGATTGATTTTCGCAAAAAGATAAACCTTAGTTCTTGTAGATTGTATTCTTCCAAATAGAAAACCTTAAAACCCCAAGTTTCACTAATGTTGATCATAACTATCGACTTGCCAGTGAAGTATTTTTAGATTTATCATGTATTCTGACGATCGAACTTTTAAAGTATTTTCGTTGTGTCAAGAAATTTACTTGTATTTGCCATTTACATAAAAATAATAAAAATAGTCATTACCTTTATTATTGCTGTTTTTAATTGATTACTTTATGAAATCGACTTCTAATTACCTACCATATTTATTTTGCTTTTTTATGTTCTGATTTTTTGTTTTATTTCCAATTTGTTTTAATTTTTCATTATTGACCTTATTCTCAACATTTATCCTTATGTGGTCAGTCCTCTTTCATTTGGTTATCCTTGTGTTTCTTCTGTGTTTATAAAATGTTAGTTTTCTGATATATAATGCTTTGGTAGTGGATGAATTGGTTTTTAGCCACCATGTGTTTGTGCATATATATGTAATCACTAAAATGTTGTTGAATTATGTTTATGTGAAAGAGTAATATGTATGTATGTACATTGCATCGTGATGACACACACAAACACACTCTCTGAACATATCTATCAATTTAAGACTGCACTAATTTCTGTTGACCCCTTATTGTATTTGTGCTTTCTTGTTTCATTTCGGAGAATTTTCGTTTCCTTCTAAGTTCTTTTTTCTTCTGTAACGGAGAAAAAGCAGAAAATGTAGTTTAAGTATAAGATAATGAAAAAATATTATAGGGGGAATGATTCCTATTGATCTCATCTGATTGAAAAGCTTTCATAAAATATTCCAGCAGTATTATAAGACTGAAAATTGAACTTAGTAATCCAATCAGTATATACGTCTCAGTGATTACTGAACAATTCAGTTTAAAACCTGCTAAAACATTGTGAATATTATGTAAATATTATTGAAGTCATTGTATATGATTTCGTATTTGATGAAACTTGAAATGGTTTCTTCACAATGCTTATTGATGAATTAGTTATATATGAATATCAACAATAATATTTTCCAGTTGCAAATTGTTACTTTAATTAAAATATTGTTTGGTGTAAAATGTGTGGCCTAATCGTTTTTTTCCTAGTCAAATTGTTCACTTTATATAGATTGAATTGTCACAGCGTATAGTTGTTTTATATGTGTAATTCATTGAATCTAAAACAACTAATTTGCAGAATTCCCAAAATAATCAGGTCCCCCGTCGTTTTTTATAGTTCAGTGTTCACCATTGTACACCATACTTTGCTGATTTTCTCAATAACACTACTTATCCGTATAAAATTTGCCGTTTCTATGAGACGAAAATCCCCAATATAGGAAGTTCATAGTTATTGTAATGAAGTTAATTAGGGAGGAAAATCTATTATTATTGGTCATTTGAATCGATGCTCACTGCTTCTTCAAAATTCAATGTTCATATCTTTTATAACTCCATTCGGTAATTAGTTTTAGTAACTATATCAGATTCCAACTGATCGGATATATCACAGGCTCGTCTTTGATATGGCATTGAATGCGAATCAGAAGTATTGTATAGATTGTTTCAATATTGCAATGTTGTTGTCGTTGCCATTTCCTTTTTGATACCATGAATTAAAATTGCAATGTTTTCTTTTTGCCATTTCTACATTTACCTTTTGTAGGCTTTAGATTTTTATACACTACCATTACTTTGTCCAAATCCTCAACTACATGCACCCGATTTACAATATGTCACTCCAGTTGACCCAACACTAGAGATATCTGAGCGTTTGGAACGTGGATCTCTACCAATAGGTAATTTTGATTAATTTGCACTGAACTGTTTTCCTAAGTTGGCCAAAAGTTGTCAGTTAGCTGTTAGATCTAAATAGTGTAGTAAAAGCAAAATCTACAGCCTAGATCTGCGTACTTGAGTTTTGCAGCCTTGTGGTATCAGTAGTGATTACAAAGTAAGTGTGGCCCAAATCCATGTACGTAAACATTACTTCTAATGAACAATTAACGATTCTTCAAATCATTTATAAAATCCCTGCTAGTGTGCTACAATTGCAATTGCTGACACTGTCTATACTGCAAATCATCAATAATCGAAATCACCACTGACTTTTGATCTGAAACAGTCAGTCATTTATAATTAATGTTTAGTCAGGAGCAAATATACAACGAGTTAAAATTAATAAGGTGAATAGCAAAGAAGATCTTGATAATGTGCTGTAGTGAACGAGTACACCAGTGGAGACAACCGACTGTATTTGAAAACAAAATTACAGAATCTCTTAGTAAAATCTGTGAATTCTTCTTTTGCAAAATATCAAACAATTGTTTCAGACTTGACGGTTCCTTCGTTTCTACACCAATTGCTCTCTGTTCTCGTTCTCTTTTCCTTTATCTTCTTAACCTTCTTCTACCAAACATTTCACTTTTGATTGATGATACATACAAATGTTCAAAAAACCTCTAAGTAAACAAATTATCATTTGACTTTTAGAGATTTCAATTACTTTATCACCAAACCAATATAATTAGACACGCGAACGTCTTATCAATCAGTATGTGTTTCTTTTTAGTACTATCACCACATGGAATCGTTAGTTGTTCGTTCTCCATGGTTATTGATATAAGGCGATATGTGTTTGATTTTCATTACTGCTCGACTCTTGTTTGTCCAATTGTTTCATGATATCTTGATTTTATCAGATTTTTTAGAGACATTTTAAGTTTAATGTTAAAACATACAAAGGCTAAATTATATATAATCTTTTATGATTATTTACCAGAGAACGTGGCGTAGTCAACGTCAGTAGCTTCTTATATGTTAAATTAATGGGTAACCCATATCTTTAAACAATACATATGATATTATTGAAATCGCAAACCGATGTATATTAGACAATCGTTGAACACCTGGGAAGACTGATTAACCGTTTCGTTCTAGTGTTAGAATCCTCAGTAGAAGTGTTTATCCACGACCTCACCACCGGACATTGAACTCTGGACTTACAGTCTCACGCGAACACTATGTATACTGTATGATGAACTACTACATATTGTCATATATTGCAAATCTTTGTTACGTTATTCAAAATTTCGTTACTTTGTTATTCGACATACTGTTTTACTGGAATTTTTAATGTCTGAAAGTATGTTCGGTTGTTACTTCTTTTTCGTTATAGGTTTAAAGTTAGATGCATTAGCCTGTCATGGACAGGATGGTTGTCGTGTCGTGCAGGTTTTAGGTGGTGGGGCTGTAGCTCGTGATCAAGTTCTTGTCACAAATGATTATATAACTAGTTTAAACGGTCTTTCTATGCGTTATTTAGACAATTTGAAAGCATTTGAGATCTTACATTCACTATCTCAAAATTCAGCTGTGATTCAGTAAGTTTTTTTTGTCATACTATATGCACTTTCTTAAATCCCTTTCGTCATACATGTTTCTCTTTGTTTTCTATGTAAATTTCCAGACTCGCTGTTTTGGAAACTTAACTTTCATCTAGGGATTTGAAAATCGACTGCTCTCCATGTACACATGTTTTGTCATCTTGATGTTATTGGTTTTAGTAGAGATAATAACACTTTGACATTGTTTCATGTACTACTGAACACTAGACAGCTGTTTCGTCCTAGTTCTGAACTTCTCAGTAGTGTATAACCATGACCCTGTCAAAGATGAAGCCTATCACCACCAAGTCTCATGGTGAGCGATTTCCCTTCAGGGTAACAGGTTTGAATCTTATTCTCCATCGATTTATGATATATAACATGTATTGCTAAATAGTCTCATCCTGCTAGGGAACAAAGTATCTAGTGCTCGCCCCCTTATTTCTTCTAATTATACTCTAACTGCTATCAGTTTTTATAAGTACTAAAGAAAATTGAACTAACTCCGTAATAAATTTGTACTTGAGTAAGTCTGCAAATATTTGTTACCATTATGTAAAACTAATTGGTATTTTTCGCTGTACACTATAAAATAGGTTAGCATCATTCATTTTGTAATCTTTCTTTGTCTTTGTAATTAGTTTGATATAAGATGACCGTCTAAAGTATAGGCTAAATTAGTTGCTTAATAAATCGCTAAAATTTTAATGTCATTATTCAATCATTATTTGTGAACTTGCAAGTTATTATTTTTTTTATTAGATAAATTCTAAAATTTCTCTATGCAATTCACTTTTATTACTAACTTAATAGATATCCAAAATTGTTTAACCTTTGTGTTGATTTTGTTTGTCAGTATTTTAGTTTCTTTTTTTGCCTCAATTTCTATAACCGAATAACAAGTAGTTTGAAATAAACAATCATTAGTTTAGTGAAATTAGTTTTCTTGTGTATACACATTAGAGTCACGACTTTTTTGAATACCTTCTGTGCAATATCTGCATCAAAATATTTTGGTTTGTTTATTTAGGCCATAAATCCTCGATCTCTTTGCATCATATAGTTAATTTTAATTCTCCATCTTGGTTTGTAATATCTTTAACCCTATAACACTAAATGTTGTGTTTAGTTGAGTAGATTCAAATACTCTCTGCTTTGTTGTCGTTCATGACAAGCCGTATTCTTAGTTGACTTCATCGAATATCGTTTATCATGGTTACTTATTTCTTGTCATGCATTCACTTTCAAAGATGATACTTTTGTCGTGTGACTTTCGAGAAATCCGTCTTTTCTATTAGTATTTCTTTCGTTGACTTATAATATATAGATGGTAATTCTTAAAAGGAGATGGATGGTGGCTAGCAGTGGAATCCAGGGCTCACGTTTCGTCCGACTTGAGACTCATCAACTGGAGTCGCCAATTACTAACACTGCACGAACATATCATACTTTATTTTTTAAAGTGTGGTCTTTCTGATACTATTATTATTTCAACTTTTGTAATCCATTTTGTTTTGTATTGAGTGCTTGAGTTCGTGTATGTACACAAATATTGTCGTTTCTTGTTTATTGTAATAGTCACTATTTTTTGAAAGTCAATCAATTATCCACTAGCTTACCTTAAAACACTTAACCTGTGCGAAGTTGGTGGTTATTTTAAAATAAACTGATGTATGTATTCTCTACTGTAGATTAGATTATTACAATATATTTTCCCAATACACTACACTGTTTCTCTGACTTATTAAACTAATTACTCATTTCAAATTCATAATTATGATTGGTATCTTTCAGTCGACAATTTACTTTCAGTGTTTATTTATCTTAAATTTTGTTCTTTATCAAGATATTTATTAGTTTCTTATGTGTGCATTTAAAGGATTAAATGGGTTTTAAATAAAATTCATAATTTGTCATCGTAAAACTATATGTAACTTTAAAAATATTTCACATAAAATTTGTTATACCGACTTAGCATGAACTAATTAGACCAAAATAAGAACTGCATAGATGAGTCAAGTTAGTGGATTCATTTCGTTGTTATAGCTGCTTATCAGTTAAATTCGACCGTTTTTTAGCACAGGAACATACCGTATTTGTATGGTTTTAGAATGTGGTTATTGAGTCACTTAAACTGTTACGATGAAAGTACATTTCAATTAGCATTTCGAACTGGCTAACGTGACATTATTTACTTCTCAGTGATCAGTCTTTTTAAATTTATTTCCTCATAACTATCAAAGAGAGATCAGTCATTAACCAGCTGCTTACTGCTCTTTTTAGCCTCCCCGATCAATTTAAACTGATTGTCCGTAACAGAGATAATCAGGTGCGAACAACTGCTTGTCTTTTATTTGAGCCAAAAAGATTATTAGTAGGCTGTCTTTTACGCGACTCTAGTAATGATCCCTATTTTCTATTGCTAGTGTAACTCTTTGATATCTTAGAGTTAAACCTGAAATAACTAGATTCTAGTTATCGTTTATTTCAGCGATACAAATAGATAGTTCGTGAAGAAAGTATGGAATAAGCGTTAAACTTAACATAAAGGATATGGGTAGTATACGATGAAATCAATTTTTGAGGACTATTCCTCTGGTTGGCCACAGGACTATATGAACTGTCGTTCTCAAATTGAAACATTCAGCTAATCTGATTTAAATATAAATTGCACATCAGTTAAGAAGTATATAATTATGACTGAAAATAAGGTTCACTCAAACAACCACTAACTATTCATCACTTTATTATAATATACGCATATGAAGTTAGTGCTTAGAAGTTTGATTGATGAGTTCCTCAGACGACTGTCTGTTAACGAATTCGTAGAGTGACATTGTCTGCGGGATTGAACCCCAAAGTTCTAAATAAAGCAAAAAAAACTTGTCAACTGATTGTGTTGTATGTGCTAACAAAATAAATGATTATTTTGCACATGGAAACGCCATTTCAATTTCTGTTAGATTCATAATTTTCCAATTCATGGTGGATTAATTCATTCATGAATCTCCCATGTCTGTTGAAACAGTTATTATGAAACAACACAAAGTTATTTCCTTTTAAACTGTAAAGACTTAATTATTCAACAAATATTTTGTAATAATATTACCCTTTGACTGAACATTTCTTCTGTCATTTAAGTATTTAACCTGATCGACTATATTTACATTAAGAGTAATAATTACAAACACAACTATGAGTAAAAATATTTACGTAATGCTATGCCTTTTTTCTTTTATTGACTAATTTAATTATTTAGAACTAAAGATTATTAGTCAGACATTGTATTTTTGATTGAATATTTCACATAAATGAAACTTCCTTTTAACCGAATAATGCCATAAACCACAAATGACCCTTTAAAAAACAATAATTTTTGCCTGATATGTTGAACGCATATAACATAATTTATTATCAAAGCACAGCTTCATGGTGCTGCAACGTTAAGGCGTAAACTTCGTATAAACGTTTTATGATATCAATCAGACGTAGTCTATATGCGATGGTTTAGTTATTGTCAGGTTTGTAGGTTCATTCTGTATGTGTTCCACCGATTTTGTGCATTCGTGAATCACTTAGACTAAACAATTCTGCCAACTAAAAAGTTTGTTTTAAACGAATTATCTATCCAAATGTTTGATTTCTTATTGTTCAATTGTTGTCTTTACATTGTGATAAGAAAACTGAAGACTAAGTGGTTATTTGATAATTTGTTATTACCTTAAAGTGTGATTTTTACAGTGCAGTTTATAGTGACAGTTCTGTTATATTGTATTCTATTCAGCATAACGTATTTTCGTGCTTGTGTTATTGAATCTCATCGAATTAAATGTTTATCTAAAACATTGAATCAAACGAGTGAAAATTCTTTACAGAAAAGGTAGGTCCCATTAATTTTTTATAATAACAGTACGGAAACGTAATAATATCCAGTAACCTAGTTCTCTGCTCTCGAATTTCCCATCCAGTCTAACTCATTAGTTACATGAAAAAGGATCTGAGTAAATAGGTTGAATTGAAAATGATATTGTGGGGTAAGAACTATTTACACCAACTATTCAATGATCTTTCTCCTGTTGTACAACAGGAGTTATCTTGAAGATCGGAAGGTAAACGGACATCGTCAAATATATAACACTAAACTCAGATGGTCTTTTTTGAAGCAGATGGGGAACTATCTGAGTTGTTTAGATAAGCTTGCGAATTAGTGTTCCAGCATCCTGAAATGAATCGATCGTCGCCCCCATATTTAAAATGTTTTTACGCCATGTTTACACAATCTCTAGAGAGGGGTGTCTATTCCTGGTTGCGCTCAGACTAATAGCTTCCGTCATACTTCGCAGGTTGTGAAATACTGACTAGTAGGGAGCTGACCAGTCTCCAATCAGGTTATGAATACATTGACCATATTTCCATTTCCTGTCGAACGTTGAAATGCCGTCATACTTATTGCAGGTCAACAGTCATGTTTCTTGTTTCTAGTACAGCTTTCAATTCATTGAATAGAACTGTACTCTGGACTTTTTTTAAAGTAGGCTATGGGTGAGCAATGTATTGACATCTTGAATGTTCTGTATACCAACACCTCAGGCAGAGTGGGGGCATGCAACCGTCTCTCCCTACTGTTCCAACCCGACAGTGCGGTTAGGCAAAGTTGACCAATCTTCCAACTTCGCCATCTGTGAGGTTATGAAGAAAGCTTAGATGGAAATAGGTGATTATGATTATGGTATAGACCTGTGACTTTGAGAAAAACTCTTCGATATTGAGTATGCGGATGATATTTGCATACTATGCAAACTAACACTTAATCAGTTGGCAATCAGTGTCTGTAACATGTGGCACGTACTTTGTATCTTCTGAACGTAATGCACTTTTATAAAACTTGAATGAACCTGTGTCTCAATCAACTCTTTGTGGTGAGCTGTTAGAAGTAATCGGAAAGTCCGTGTATTCGAATTGTTGTATGAACGCTGGTGGTGGCGTAACTAGTGATATTGTTCTACGCATAACGAACCGCAAAACCTCTTATGCCAATAAGGTTAATCATTGTAGCCGTCTTGATTTTAGACCAGCTGCAAAAGTTTACGTTGTTATCTTTAATTGTACTCGATTCACAATGTAATTTGGTTCTTGATCAGTATTTCATTGATGAATCAAACGCATCCATATGTCACATCGTTTGAACTTATGAAACTTAATCTAAATTCTCGTCAGTAGTTTTCATTCAATTAATAATAACTTAGATGCTTTTTGAAAAAAAAACATTTAGGTTTTAGACAGTTATCAAGAATTTCAACTAAGGAACGTTTGGTGATTAAAGGGTTATTAAATGGCTATTTTTTCTTCGTATAATACAATATTTTCAGTGATAAATATAGCCGCTTTAAAAATTGATCGCATTCGTCTTTAAATAATGTCGTATGCATGTTTTACTTTCAGTCAAATTAGTTTGCTTTACTATGCTAATATTTTGTTTATATTACTTTGCATCAATTTGCTCACAGTTCTCCATATTCGTCTATTGTACAACCTATAAATTGGTCACCTCCGATTGCAATTGTACTTCATCGTTTGAACACTAGTCAACCATGGGGTTTGGTTGTATCTGGTGAGTTATAAGGTATTTTTATGGTTCCTGTCTTTTTATGAATATGAAGTGAACTTTAAGATGAGTGCCTTGTAATCTGATACGTCACAAATTGGGTTGATCTACTTTCCATATACTCTGGTTAGTAATTTTAGGAGATTGGTCATCACTTGGTAAGTTTTGATCCTGATGTTTTAACACTTTCCACTCATAATTGGAAATCTGATTGTAGGAAGCAATTTCCTACAGGTGTAACTCTAAGATATTCTCTAGACTGTCGAGCACAGAGTCTTGGTTTAGCCAAAGTCAGAACAAGTAAGCTATTTGGCTTGATAAACTTTATCTGTTTCTAAGACATAAATTAACACCGTTAGTATACAAAATAGACAGTACAGTCCACTAACACAGGGAAAAACAGAGACAAAAATAACACCGACCAGTAACTAGAGGATATGGAAAATGAGTCAACAAGGCGAATATTGTTTATAATGAACATAAAATTGTGATTGGTGAGTAAACAAGACATAGTCATACAAGGTCAAAGACAGTTAATGTGGTGGTGCGCGTTTCACTTTATCATTGGTGAGTTCGTTTATCAATCACACTTTACACTCCCCCCGGAACGCTCACCACGTCCTTTGTCCTATGTCGTCGTTGCCATCAGATAGCCGCCTTCCAGTAGGCATAGGCTTCGTACGTTCTGAACGATTTCTTCGTTTGCAGTTCTCAACTTTGCTGTACAAACTCGTCCATCAGGGCCATAGCTTACTTATTCGACAATGGCTTTAGGCCATAGACTTCTACTCGTTTCGACGTTACTAACGAGAACTAGGTCGCCCGGTTGTAAAGTATTGTGTACGTTTAACCAATTATCTCTTGTTTGGAGAGTCGGTAGATATTCTCTTATCCATCTATTCCAAAATACGGTAGTTAACCTTTGAGTTTCTTTCCATCTTTTATTGTATAATAAAGTCTTATCCACCTAACATCGTCGAATGATAATCCTTTATAAATCAACAACTTATTCGGAGTAAGAGCTTCTAGGGTGCTAGGATCGTCTGTCATTTTAACCAGAGGTCCGTTATTTAGTATCATTTCTGCCTCAGTCAAGAAAGCTTGCAGACCTTCATAGGTCAACACGTTTTGAAACAAAAGCACTCTTAGAATTCTTCTAATTGATCTTATGATGCGTTCCCACACACCACCCCGATGACTTGCCCTAGGTGGGTTGAAACGCCATTCACAACCTCTCTCAAAAAGGGTATTCGCTATCTTATTCTGATTCCAACTACACATGGTCTGTCTAGGAATAGCATTGGCTCCTGTAAAGCTGCCAGGTGCACCCTTACTATTATTCACAACTCGTACAAGGGCGCCTTTCTCAACACCATCTTCGATACCACGGCGAATATGTGTTACCTGCTTCTTCAGATTCTTAGTTACTGGTTTATTTGTCACAATGGCCTTCGGCCTTTTCGTAGTCTTGACTTTCAGTTTGATGTCCATGTTTTCCTTAGGCTTTCTTAAAGTTGATTTGGGTTTATTAGCAGATAGTGCTTCACTTTTTGGCTTAAAAACGTACTTAGTTATTAAATTGGAACAAGGAACTTGACGAGAGACATTTTCGGAACGAGCATACTCCGCAACACCATATGCAAATTCTGAGGCATCGGCAGAGCAAAGAATCTGACTAGCCAGTGGTTTGTACGATTCTGGTAATGCTATACGATCTTCCACAGACATCGATGAAATACGACTAAATGGGTCTTTGAATTCAGTTGAATGCAATTGTTCAAACTTATCCTCTAATTCCTCCTTAGCCGAGAGGTGATTCAGTACACGGTTGCTTTCACGGGGTTCTCCGTAAGGGCCGAACAAATGAATCTAATCTTCGTAAACTCAAAATAATCTTTTCTGTATTATTGGACTTCAAAATCTTGAGTAAAATATTGATTCTGTGTTATGAATGCAGTTTACCTATGCAAGACGTGCATCCAACTTCTTGTGAATGCTGGTATTTTGATGTCCATTTTCCGTATTGTGCATTACTGTTTCTTAACTAAACCAGGTTATCCTGTTTACATTCTTGATGGACAGTGACGAATTCTTCAATTTTCTATTGACACATACATGTTTGTATGTGTATGTCAGTGTACACGTTTCTCACTTAATCTTTGAGGTAATACAAAACGAATATTATTGTGTAACACTAGATATTTTCTTTATTTTCTGGTAACAAATATTATACTATTGGAAACGTTACTTTTCTTTTCTGTTACTTGTTGTTTAAAGGTTCTGACATTTGTTCAAAATTGAATTGTTCAGCACCAATGAATTTAGAAAATCCAAGCATTGTATCCGAGATATTGCCTAATAGCATAGGAAGAAATTGTAAATTGCTTAGTCGTGGTCTGTTGATTTTACAAGTAAGTCAGTGTTCATTGTCGTTGTTGCATGATGATTTATTTATTTTTCATCAATTTATGTTCATTAGTGTTATCTCAATTGAATTTATCATTTATATTACAAATTATATTGAATATCATACTTTCCCTTCGAAAACAGACGAATATTATATCTGCGTTACAATTAGTTCAAGTTAATAAAAGGTATTTTTTGCACTCATGTCGAAGTTCCGTTAATTTGTAGAGGTTAATTCCTCTCTCAATTCGCCGGGGTTCATACGAATTGCACTATAAATAGTAAATAACAGTCCCAACAAAAATTATGTTAAATAGATAGTTTAACAATAGCCTTTCGCTGTATTGATATTGTTCCATAGTATACTAAAGTTCACTGGCAAGATCTGAGTTTATATTTTATATATGCTTTTATTTCGGATAATTTGTTATAAACATATTCTATGTAGGAACAATTTTCTGTTTCCCACACAAAAAGATAATAGCAAGGAGGGAGAGATAGATTGTTTGATTGATAGATGGTTATCTATTTTAGATTGTTAGTATCCTGAGTATCAAGCCTCAATATAATTTTAGGACTGCTTATACGTTTCATTCACATGTCCAATTTTAATTCTAAGTGTATGTTGCGAACACCTACATAACCATAGCAAAATGAATCGTTGCAGTATCTTATCTGATTTCACAATATATGTTCATTTTGTATATTTTAGGGATAAATTGTGTATATATTTTAAATTCAACCTTAAAGCCCTGTAAATTAAAATTTGATATATCGATTCAAGCTATCGACTGCACCTCAGATTCGATGTTCACTATGGGGCTCAAACTCAGTACCATTCGCTTCAAATGCCATCGCGTTATCCACTCAGCTACTGAGTCCTGATAGCCACTTGCTTGTGCAATGGAGTGAATTTAAATTCACACGGTGTTGTTATGCTTGTTTCTTCTCATTTAGGTTTAAGACTACAGCTGACAAGTCCCAAATAGGACGAAACGCGCGTCTTGGATTCCACTGCTAGCCATTATCCATCTTTGCTTATAAAAACTTGTGAATGAAGGCAATATCGAGGCACTTACTTACTTATTTACGCCTGTTACTCCTCGTGAAGGAGCATAGGCCGCTCACCAGCATTCTCCATCCAACCCTGTCCTGGGCAATCCTTTCAAGCTCTTTCCAGTTCTTATTCATCTTTTTCATATCTGCTTCTATTTCCCGACGTAATATGTTCTTTGGCCTTCCTCTTTTCCGCTTCCCTTCAGGATTCCAAGTTAGCGCTTGTCTCGTAATGCAGTTTGATGATTTCCTCAATGTATGTCCTAACCATTTCCATCGTCTTTTCCTAATTTCCTCTTCAGCTGGAAGCTGGTTGGTTCTCTCCCACAAAAGGCTGTTGCTGATGGTATCCAGCCAATGGATGTTGAGTATCATGCGTAGACAGCTATTAATAAATACCTGTACCTTCTTGATGGTGGTTCTTGTAGTTCTCCAAGTTTCAGCTCCGTACAGTAGAACTGCCTTGACGTTCGTATTGAAGATTCTGACTTTGATATTGGTTGAAAGTTGTTTTGAGTTCCATATGTTCTTCAGTTGAAGGAATGCCGCTCTAGCTTTGCCAATCCTCGCCTTGACGTCTGCATCTGAACTTCGTTGTTTATCGACGATGCTTCCCAGGTATGTGAAGGATTCCACGTCTTCCAGAGTTTCGCCATCAAGAGTGATTGGATTGCTGTTCTCCGTGTTGTGTTTGAGGACCTTGGTTTTCTCTTTGTGTATGTTGAGGCCTACTGATGCAGAGACTGCTGCTATGCTGGCTGTCTTTATCTGCATTTGTTCGTGTGTATGTGATAGGAGGGCTAGGTCATCTGCGAAGTCCAAGTCGTCTAATTGGTTCTGAGCTGTCCATCATATGCCGTAGTTTCTCTCAGATGTCGAGGTCTTCATAATCCAGTCGACCACCAGAAGAAACAGGAAGGCAGAGAGTAGACAGCCTTGTCTTACTCCGGTCCTTACTTGGAATGCCTCTGTCAGCTGTCCTCCATGCACTACTTTGCACTGTAGTCCGTCGTATGAGTTCATGATAATGTTGACAATCTTCTCAGGAACTCCGTAGTGTCGAAGAATTTTCCATAACGTCCTCCTATCTACACTGTCAAATGCCTTCTCATAATCAATAAAGTTGATGTAGAGTGACGAGTTCCACTCAATTGATTGTTCGACGATGATCCGTAGTGTTGCAATCTGGTCTGTGCACGACCGGTCTTTACGGAATCCAGCTTGTTGATCTCGAAGTTGAGCGTCAACTGCGTCTTTCATCCTGTTCAGTAACACTCTGTTGAAGACTTTACCCGGTATTGACAGTAGTGTAATGCCTCTGTAGTTTTCACACTTGCTCAGATCTCCTTTCTTTGAAATCTTGATGAGGTGTCCTTCTTTCCAATCCATCGGCACATGTTCCTCCTCCCAAATCTTCTTGAATAGAAGATGCAGCATGCTTGTAGTTACTTCGATGTCTGACTTCAGTGCTTCAGCTGGTACATTGTTGGGTCCTGCTGCTTTCCCGCTCTTGATTTGTCTGACGGCCATTCTGATTTCTTCTGTCGTTGGTGGATTGACATCTATAGGAAGATCTGTGTGTGCTGCTTCGATGTCCGGTGGATTCATTGGAGCCGACCTATTCAGGAGTTCCTCGAAGTACTCTGCCCATCTGTTGCGCTGTTGTTGAATCTCAGTGATTGGTCTTCCTTCTTTGTCTTTGACTGGTCTCTCTGGTTTACTGTATTTCCCTGCTAGCTTCTTCGTCGTATCGTAAAGCTGTCTCATATTTCCTTCTCTTGCAGTTTTTTCCGCCGTCGTTGCTAGTTCTTCCACGTATTTTTGCTTGTCAGCTCTAATGCTCTTCTTCACTTTCTTGTTTGCTTCTATGTACTCAGCTTCTGCTTGGACTTTCTCTGCTCTTGTTCGACTGTTGTTAATTGCTGTCTTCTTGTTCTTTCTTTCTTTGATCCTGTCCAATGTTTCTGTAGAGATCCATTCCTTGTGATGACGCTTCTTGGGGCCCAGAACCTCTTCACACGTTGAAGTTAATGTTTCTTTGATACCTTTCCAGCTATCCTCCATAGTAGTTTTTTCTTCCGTCAGTAGATCCTGTAAGGCTTGGAACCTGTTGTTGAGAGCTACCTTGAATTCATTAAGTTTGTCAGTATCTCGAAGGAAGGCTGTATTGAACCTTTGTGATGCTGTTTGTCCAGTTGTCCAGTTCTTCTTTAGCTTCAGTTTCAATTTGGCCACAACTAGGTGATGATCTGAAGCTATGTCCGCTCCTCTCCTGGTTTTCACATCTTCCATTGTCCTTCGGAACTTTTTATTGATGCAAATATGATCTATCTGGTTCTCTGTGGAGTGGTCCGGTGAGATCCATGTAGCTTTGTGTATACGTTTGTGTGGAAACATTGTGCCTCCTATGACCAATTTGTTGAATGCACACAGATTTACAAATCTTTCCCCGTTTTCGTTCCTCTCTCCCAGTCCATGTAGTCCCATGATATCTTCATATCCGGTGTTGTCTATTCCGACTTTGGCGTTTAGATCTCCCATCAGAATGGTGAGGTCCTTTCTTGAGCACTTCTCTATGATTGATTGCAGCCTCTCATAGAATTGATCTTTAACGTCGTCGTTGCTATCATTGGTGGGTGCATAACATTGGATAATGTTCATTGTGATCCCCTCCTTCTTTGTTTTGAATGATGCTTTGATGATTCTGGATCCGTGATATTCCCATCCTACAAGTGCATTTCGTGCTACTTTGGATAGCATTAGAGCAACTCCCTGAGTGTGTGGAGCATTTTCCTCTTCGTGACCGGAGTATAGCAGCATCTCTCCCGTATTTAGCCTTTGTTGTCCAGCTTGGGTCCAATGGGTTTCACTGATTCCCAGTACTGCCAAGTTGTATCTCCTCATTTCCGTTGCTATTTGACTGGTCTTCCCGGTCTCCCACATTGTCCGGACGTTCCATGTACCTATAAAAATTGTTGCTCTGGTTGTTAGGAGTGGCATCGGCCTCGTGGCTTCCGAAGGAACTCGGCTTTCACCATGAAGCGTCATATTACCTCTAACTCCCAGGGCAGAGTTTAAAAATATCGAGGCACATCATGCACATATGCCAATATCAGACTGATCAATTACAGTCTTAAACCTCAATAGGAAGATAAAAGCCAAACAATACCAAGTGAATTTAAATGTTAATTTAGTTTTGAAACTGTTGGGGTATTCAGAAAATACCCCAGAAATTATCTAATGCTATTCCTGAATGAGAAGTAGTGTCATTTCCCCATTGGTCAACATTCTTCCAACGTGTCATCTCCTTATTGGTCAATATTTATTTGTGTCATTTCCTGAAGGTTAAATCTTGTACAAATGTTACTTTCTATTTTATGGTACGATGTAGTCTGTTTGATTGCTATATAAACAGAGTATGTTTGAAATATAATGATTCATATCTCCGAGGCTGAGACTTATGTTCTGGACTCAATTGGCTGGGCTAGACAGGGAAGCAGGACCAATCAGAGCTCTAGGCTGCTCGGTCGTATTTTGTGCGTCACTGTTTCGATCGATAATAGGCTGCTCTCTAATAGGCGGATCACACGTTATAACAGAAACCAAATACAAAAAATTATTTCTGGTAACAAATGCAATAAAGAATATCTTATATGATACTTTTAACTTTAAAAAATGATGCATATTGTTATTACTTAAGAGTCAAACAGTGTAAAATTCCAAAATTTTTGAAATGAAATTATTTACTTGAATCTTGCCAGTGCAAAACATTAGTCTTTAGGTATATTGTAGTCGATTTTGTAACATTAGAATGCAGACATATTTAATATGATCTTAACATGAGCTCATTTAGTCTCTAATCAGTAAGTTGATAATTCAAACATTCTATGGTATGCCTTATTATACACACGTTACAACGAGACATTGAACATTTTTGGCTATGAAACTCTATGGTCAATTTACTGATGAGGTGGACACTTCATGCTGACACTCTGACATTCGAATTGTACATGGTCAGCTTATTAGACAAGCTTGAAATCCTTATAGGATCTGAATCATTGTTGTCATGACAACTGGCACTAATAAAGACGATAATTTGCGTTACTAGGTTTTACTGATAGAACTAGGTGAAAACAATTTAAAAGACTTTTCCATAAACCTCGTGGTCTCCTTTATTGTTGGTAGCTCATCGTCTGTTAGTTCATATATTCACATGCTAAAAATTCTATGACCTGTATTTGGATTATCGAATTTCTTTATTAATCGCTTAAATCATAACTTGACATTGACTGAAAGCTAACATTAATCTCGTTACATGCAATCTCCATGTTTTGCTTAAAAATGTATTGAAGTTTGTTAAGGTAGAGTCACATAACATAACATATTCATAGTAATTACTTTTTGCTTTTCAAAACGATAGAGAATAAGATAAACATACTGAGTACCTTAATGTTTACACTTAAGGTCTTCACTAATTTTTGCAGAATTCGAACCACTCACGTTGCGATTAAAAGTCGAGTACTTTAACTACTGTGTTGGGGTAAAGGGAACGTCAGTTATGAATTGGTTCGTAATTTAGAAGATTCTTTGTTATGTAATTTAACCTTGTGTTCTATTTTGATCATATTTTAATTGTCTACTGCACACTGTGTAATTTTCAATAATACCAATCATTTGACCCGACTAAGTGTTACTCCTTAATAAAAATATATAACCATTAAAGTTTTTGACCATATTGAGATATGACATACCGTTCATATGTCTAAGAGTTTGCATATAACAACTGATCAAAAAATCACACTATAGAAAACTTTTTGTAGTAAATCAAAATTTTTTGTTTACCAAAACTTTGAATTTGACCAGTAATACTATAAGACAACAATTTTGTGTTTGTTTGTCTTTTTGCTCAATTTTAGATTCAAGGTGTCGATGTCTCTACCAAAGGTCCAAATTATGTCAATGCTTATCTGCAATATCTATCGGATCAGCCTGATCTACGTGAAATTCACATAGTTGTATGCCATTTTAATGATGATTGTACGGAACATATTATTAATAGTGGTGTTGGTGGGATGTTTAATCAAGTTAATATTACCAATTATACTGCTACTACTACTAATGATAATAATAATAATAATAATAATAATAATAATAATAATTTAAATCTTACTGATAAAATGGAGGTAAGGGATGAATTAATTGTTTATTACTTTTTAAGAAATCTTGCTGTAAGTTGATTAAAGACGTTTTCATTACGTTGCACTAACAATTATCATTGTGATATTCTGATGTTCTAGATGAATTCATTGGTTCACAATATATTATGATTTGCAATTATTATGACTTATTTATTTATTTGAACACATAGATATTGATACAAGGGGGCACAAAACACATGCACCACGCAATAACAATGAGGCCAGTAGTGGTTATCATTTATTTGTGCGAGGCCTGTAATACTACCCGAGCGCCCAAATCGATACAGGTGGTTTTCTACGACGACCATTCCTCAAGCCTTTGACCTAAACGTTTTATCCACAAGGCACTGAAGAAACGTAAGGAGATGCAATCCTCTGGTGACCAACAATAATTTCATACGTCATTTATTCCCTCAGGATCCTGCAGTTCATAGGATCAGAATTTTTCAACTTCCATAGGTGGATCCTCTATATTCACCAATCCGGTTAAAGCGCCGGACATTCGGTTTTCGCCTTTTCAATTTTGTAAACAATATGCCAACTGCGAGAAGGCAGTGATTAGGACTTTCCTGAGGGTGGTTGTATACCCGTGGCCATATGAGAGCATTTCATGAGGGGGAGCTGACTCTCCTCACCCTCGGTTGTGCCGGGGCTAAATTTTTATCATAGATGTGAATGATAAAACAAACCTAATTGTATGTAGAAAGTATTTATATGTTGTCACTAGATAAAAAGCTAATTAGTATTTCTAGTAGACCACAAATATAATGTTGAATAAAGCTTATAATAATAAATAATAAAAAAAAATGAAGATACTATTCGTCTGCAAAGTTGTTCTCAATTGATTAGATTTCTCTTCTGAGTGTGTGATAATCGTGATGCATGTTTGCAAACGTAATTCAACATGATCGAAAATCGATCACAGTTTGATGTTTATATAATTTTATGTGAGTTCATACGTAATTTATGTATAGAATAGTAGAGATGTACTCATAGATAATTTCAAATAGTTTAGAGCTCTCTGTCCTTTGTTGTTTTTTTTTCTTCGTTTTGATATCAGCTTGCAATAAAAATCAATTTAAACGTATCTAGGGCATTTAAAAATCAACCTAAAATAATAATAATTAATTGTTATTAGTTCTTTCGTCAAGCTATTATGTTTTCAGTCTACATTAAGTGGTTTAATATGTTTGTTTATTTAGAAGGACATGGAAAATTTGTGCATACCTTTTTACTGTTATCCTAATTAATGCATTAATTTCTCCTTTTTTAATTCATGATCCAGTTATCCAACTATTTAAATATCTCCACACCTATCAATGGTCAACTAATATGTGATCATATTGTCCACTCAGGGACATCTCCAAGTTCCAGTGATATGGAAGATCCTGAACCACTGGTTAGTTTATTTTTCTTCATGCTTTTATTTCTTACTTCGTTGTTTTGCTTATATTCTTTTCATTCAAACTGTTAAAGTATGATGTTTATTTAATAACACTGTCAAATCTATGTCAATTGAATGATTTACGTTTCATTTGATTTGGGTTAATAAGTTTTTTGGACCAGTTTTATTTATGCTTTTTTTCAAATAAATACATACATGTTCACATATCTTTACTATGTTTTATGTTACTTTAGTGGTGTACTATTTGAATTTGAAATATGTCATTTGTTTTACAAGAAAAATTGTCTGATTTCTGTGCTACCTGGCATCAGTCCTTGAAGTCACTAACTTCTGGTCTGAGCCATGTTGGTAGATGCAGACTACTTGGTTGGGGTCTGCGTGATTATCGCAACCAATGGTTGGAGACTTTTGGTGACGGCTCAGAATCGATCACCATGGCGTCGGTGCATACACTCTCTGTCTTCCCTTAAACCGTGAAATTTCGTTCTACAAACTAATTCTTTCTTCCTGTACTATATCACTATATGCAATCTTTTATATATCACCACCATTGACTTAACTTGTTGTGCTAATGCCGTAGGGCAACTTGGACCGATGCATATATGTGCCTGGTCTTACGTTGTAGCTGACTGACTGAATGTGCTACTGAAATTAAGTGAGATACGGAGTTTAATTCAATACTTTATTTCTACTGTTCTTAACTTCGTTTTGGTCACTGAACATGTATTATGAGTGACTTCACATATTCAGAAATAGTTATTACTCACATATACGAAGTAGTGAAGTCTCAAATATTTAAAAGTCATCTCCCTATAATCAATCTTTCGTTATGGATATACTTCAGCTTTAAAAACAACATAAATGTTTAACATTTCAAGCAACTCGGCACTAGGAGGATTCACTTGAGCTATGAATTTCCAGAATCGTTTCAGATGAGACATGATCATTCAGTCATAATATATGAGTCACGAGCTAACTAATACGCTCTCGGTTCTGTCGATCGTCTCGATTTTAAAAGCTAAAAATCATAACCTTATATTGCATTCGAATTTATTTAGATGGTAGTGTCAAGACTATGTGTGAAGTTTTGAACTTTTTATTGCGCTTTGTAGATTTTGGGTTAATTTGAGGGCGATATTCATCACGGATTAATTTATGTCGGTTACCATTAAAGAACATAAAACACTAGTCAGCTATTTCTTCCTGGTATGAGACTCCTCCCACAAACCTGCTCTGAGGATGAACTGAAAATCTTCAAGTGCCTTGGTGTGTCAATGATACATATTTCCGATTTCCATCAATTCGAAATATAGCGCAACGACTATCCAAAACCACTACTGACGATTTTTTGATCTGTCATATATCTGAATTCCACGGGTCAAAACTTCTTACTAGGATTTCAGAAACTGATCAAAAAGTATTTCACTGATGACTATAATTATACTATTTTTCCGACAGTTTATATGGAAACTATTTTTATTTGAAGGTGCTATTCATCACAATTTGGTGCCCCGAATGGGATCGATTTCTGATAAATAACACCTTCAAGTCTATATTTGTCTACTCGGCTTTCTGTTATTGCATACATATATAGCTTTAAAATGCTATCCAACTGTTGAACTCAAAATAGTTACAAAGTTGTACTGATAAGAACTTTACAAATTATAATTAATTAGTCAACTATTTCTTATGCAACTAAATTACATTCCCAAGATTATATGCATATAATTCTTTCCTGAATATCTGTTTGGTCATCAGAAGTTCATATATTTATTAAGATGATACCTGTTTATGTTTTTCTGATATAAATTTAAGCTTAACACATTACATGAAGTCGATGGACCTAAGTATTATTATTAAACATTGGTACAAGGGAAGCCAACATACATATGCACAATACAACAAAAATGAGGTCGTGAAGAGATAGAGGAAGGAAAGTGAGCATAACAAGAACAAGAACAACAATGTATAGATATTGGTGTATGTGAGTGAAATAATAATGGGAGAAGCAGTTCAGTTAAGCAAAATGCAACCAGAAAGGATATTTTTCAGTTAAAGAAGTTACTCTCACTTTTATGAAGGAAGTCAAAGTTACAGCAGGATCGCCACTGGCTTCGATTCTGAGCCATTTCTGATAACGTCTCAACCCTATATGTTGCCCCATCTCTGGGATAGCCGACCCTATCTGTTGCCCGATCTTGATTATTGTGCGGACTTTGAAGGAGGCCAGTTTGAATAGTACACGTGGTTTTAGAAAAACTGGTTCGTAATTCGTATAAACAAGTAGTTGTGAGTAGGATTTGCTAGAATGGGAATGGAAGAGTGAATGTTGCTTTTATTGTAGTCATAATTTAGTTTGTGTGTGGGTTGGGATACTGCCCGGATGCTGAAACCGAAGCTCTCCAGAGAAACTAAATGAACTGTTATTCTGTCAATTGCTGACGTCCGTTATAATACGAGTCAAATGGCTATGTTTTATTGAGGATCAATTAGATGAACAAGTGGGATATATTAGATGGATCTCAAGCAATTACTAGTACTAAGTGCGTATATAAGTCAGATTATCATTTATTCCAGTTAAAACCATGCTCAGATTTATGTTCGACAGGTAAAAACGTTTGAACAGTTTTTCAAATTAGTTGACTTGATTCACAAATGTAACTACATGGTAAAAATATCTTATAGAACATTTTGCTGTAGAGGTGGTAGCAGTTCATTATTTCAAACCTGAATTATGTGTGCAAAAGCGCCGCATCAAGCTGTCATCATATCATGACTCTAATACCTGATTTTTTCAGACACAGTCAATACCTTATCTTAATACTTTTGATTTTTAGTTAATCGTTACAACTACCTTCATATTTCAAATTGACTCCTAATCTTTCTCATGCTCCTTAAGTGGATAACTATCTTTCACATATTTGATTTTATCTTTTTTTCTACTTAGTCGTTACGCGATCGCATTTCGATCCTTGAAATTGTTCACTATTCTATATTCTTCGACAGTCTAAGAGTGGTAATAGGTGTATGTAAGCAACCGACATAGGCATTTAAAATTCGGAGTACGACATCGCAACACGATAGTCATTTGTGAACAACGATGATCCGACGCAGATAATGGCTCAACATCTCCAATTCTAAGAGACCATGTTTCACAAACGTATAGCAAAACTGCTTTCACCGACGCATTAAAGACCTGAACTTTTACAGCGAGACTAACGTCACGAAGGCGCCAGATTGGCGTAAGTCGCTCTAGCTTTCGCTATACGTCAGTTGATCTCATCACTCACGCCACCACCAGCACTTACTGAGCTACCCAAATACACGAACTTCTCGACTACTTATATTTGTTTACTACCAGGAGTGAGTGCAGGTTTAGGATCTTGGGAGTCTTGTAAAAGTACTTTGCACTGGGAAGGTGCAAAGCTCATTCCATACCGACGGACACTGATTGCCATCTGATTAAGTGCAGATTGCATCGCTTATGTGTCATCGCACAGTAGGACAATATCATTCGGATACTCGTGGTCGAAGAGCCCTCCAGACAACAGATTGACACCACCATTACCCGCATCCATCAGAGTTGATTTTAGACCGTCATTGATGGCAAAGTTGAAAAGTAATGGTTAGATTTGGCAACCCTTCCTAACCTTTCTTCTGGGTTAGAACAATGGAGAATGGTGGTCGTATGCCACCAATCCGCTAGTGGTGTTTGTATATAGGGCTTTTAGACACACATTTCTTCAATAGACAATCCCAGAGAACAGCCCTTTCCAATGAATCATAGGAGAGCCTGATGTCGAAAGACACTACGATTGTTGGCTTGTAATAAGTATGAAGATGTTCTAAGATTTGGGAGAGGGTAAGGATATAATCAGTACATCTTCGACTAGAACGAAAACCAGTCTGCTCCTCGCAAGTCAACCTTTCATGGGTTTTGAACAGCCTGAGAAGTATGACGGCAGCCAATAATTTGGATGTCATCAGAAGTGAACTTACCCCCTATGGTTGTTGGATGGGTGAAGTGGACCCATATTAAAGATAGGGATAACTAACGACTCATTCCATGGCGTTAGAACATTCTCTAATTACCAGTCATTTGTAAACAATTCTGTCATTGTATCACTAATACCCAAGACTTCATATTTTTTGATTACTTGTAGTAAGTCCATTCTCTCTTATGAATTTTTTTCACGATATACTCCTAATATTATTGAAGTAGACGTCTATGATATCGTAAAATCATCATCGATTTATTGGGCACTTAGCTTTTTAATAATAATTAATGTTTTAGAAGTAGTCATAATATTGATCATCACTTTACCGTACCATATTTTCCCTAAGTATTTATATTTTGTCTATAAACAGTGTTTACATTTTGTGCTGTAGTTAGTTTACTTATTAGTTGGGTTTATTCATGCCTTCACCGATCATATTTTATTATAAAATATGTTGACATCCGAAATGTTTTACTAAGGATTATTTTAGACTCCGATCAGATTGTAAATGTAAACGGAAAATGTTTATTGATAGTTTTGTTACGCTGTCTGTTCTTTAGTGAATTTCTTCAAGGTAGAGTTTCGAAATTGATAGTATTAGATGGTCTTTACTATATGACTGAAGTTTAGATTGTAAAATATGGATAGGTGTTTATTTTGTTTTTGTTTTATGTTATGCTCAGGACCTGTTACTCCCAATGGAGCATAGGCCGCCGACCAGCATTTTCCAACCCACTCTGTCCTGGGCCTTCTTTTCTAGTTCCATCCAATTCTTGTTCATTTTTCTCATATCTGTCTCGATTTCTCGGCGTAATGTGTTCTTTGGTCTTCCTCTCCTCCTTCGGCCTTCAGGATTCCATGTGAGGGCTTGTCTTGTGACGCAGTTCGGTGCTTCCCTCAATGTGTGTCCTATCCACTTCCAGCGCTTCTTCCTGATTTCTTCCTCCACTGGGATCTGACTTGTTCTCTCCCACAGTAGGTGTTTGCTAATAGTGTCCGGCCAACGGATCTGAAGTATTTTGCGTAGACAACAGTTAATAAACACTTGTATCTTCTTGATGATGGCTTTCGTAGTTTTCCAGGTTTCGGCCCCATACAGTAGAACTGTTTTCACATTTGTATTGAAAATTCTGACTTTGGTGTTGGTTGTCAATTGTTTTGAGTTCCAGGTGTTCTTCAGTTGTAAATATGCTGCTCTTGCTTTGCCAATCCGTGCCTTCACATCTGCATCAGATCCACCGTGTTCATCGATGATACTGCTCAAATATGTAAAGGTTGTTACATCTTCCAAAGCTTCTCCGTCAATTGTGACTGGATTGTTATATGCTGTGTTGTATCGAAGAATCTTGCTTTTCCCTTTGTGTATATTGAGACCTACTGCTGCTGAGGCTGCAGCTACACTGGTCGTCTTCTGCATTTGTTGTTGCGTTTGCGATAGAAGAGCCAGATCATCTGCGAAGTCTAGATCATCCAATTGCATCCTAGCTGTCCACTGTATCCCGTGCTTCCCTTCAGATGTTGACGTCTTCATGATCCAGTCGATCACCAGGAGAAAGAGAAAGGGGAGAGTAAGCAACCTTGCCTGAGACCGGTCTTTACTTCGAACGACTTTGTCAACTGTCCTCCATGAACGATTTTGCAGTCTAATCTATCGTAGGAATTCCGTATGATATTGACTATCTTCTGAGGTACACCGTAGTGTCGAAGAAGCTTCCATAGGGTTGTTCTGTCCACGCTATCAAATGCTTTTTCGTAGTCAATGAAGTTGATATAGAGTGATGAATTCCATTCAATTGATTGTTCCACAATGATCCGTAGAGTTGCGATTTGGTCTGTACACGATCTATCCTTACGGAATCTTGCCTGTTGGTCGCGAAGTTGTGCGTCTACGGAGTCCTTCATCCTGTTTAACAATACCCTGTTGAAGACTTTTCCTGGCATTGAGAGAAGAGTGATTCCCCTGTAGTTGTCACAGTTGCTGAGATCGCCTTTCTTTGGTATTTTGACTAGAAGTCCTTCTTTCTAGTCTTTTGGTACCTGTTCCTCATTCCAAATCTTTCTGAAGAGAGTTTGGAGTATCCTTGCAGTTGCCTCTACGTCTGCTTTCAGTGCCTCTGCTGGAATGCTGTCTAGTCCTGCTGCTTTGCCACACTTGATTTGTCTGATAGCCATGCTGATCTCTTCAAGTTTTGGTGGGCCAGCATCGATTGGGAGGTCCGTGAGTGCCGCTTCGATGTTGGGTGGTTGATTGGGGCTGGTCGATCCAAGAGTTCTTTGAAGTGTTCTACCCACCTGTTCCGTTGTTCTCCAATGTTGGTGATTATCTTGCCTTCCTTGCTTTTCACTGGTCGTTCTGGTTTACGGTGATTTCCAGAGAGTTTCTTTGTTGTGTCATACAGTTGTCTCATGTTTCCTTCTCTGGCAGCCTTTTCCGCCATCATTGGTAAATCTTCCACATATTTACGTTTGTCAGTTCTGATGCTCCTCTTCACTTGCTTGTTTACCTCTGTGTATTCAGCCTGTGCCTTGGCTTTTTCTGCTCTTGTTCGACTGGTATTGATTGCTGCTTTCTTGTTCCTCCTTTCTTGAATCTTATCCAGTGTATCGATCGTGATCCAATCCTTGTGATGGTGCTTCTTTTGGCCCAGAACCTCATGACATGTTGAAGTGATTGCCTCTTTTATCTCTTTTCAGTTGCTCTCCATAGTAGTTCCTTCTCCATTGAGTAGATCATCAAAGGCCTGGAACTTATTGCTGAGGGTTATCTTGAATTTGTTGAGTTGGTCATTATCCCGAAGAAGAGCCGTATTAAACTTTTGTGGTATTGTCCTCCCCGTTGTCCAGTGCCTCTTGAGTTTCAATTTCATCTTGGCGACCAGCAAGTGATGATCTGATGCTATATCGGCTCCTCGCTTGGTTCTCACGTCCTCCATCGTCTTCCTGAACATTTTGTTGATGCAGATATGGTCGATTTGGTTCTGTGTGGTGTGATCCGGTGAAGTCCATATGGTTTTGTGTATGCGTTTATGTGGGAATATAGTCCCTCCTTTAACCAGTTTATTGAATGCACATAGATTTGCAAATCTCTCACCATTTTCCTTCCTTTCTTCCAGTCCGTGTCGTCCCATGATCTCTTCATATCCGGTGTTGTCAATTCCAACCTTGGCATTTAGGTCTCCCATCAGAATGGTCAGGTCCTTTGTTGGGCACTTCTCGACGATTGAGTGCAGCCTATCGTAGAATTGATCTTTAGCTTCTTCATTGTTGTCGTTGATAGGCGCGTAGCATTGGATGACGTTCATTGTAATGCCCTATTTTTGTTTTGAAGGAGGCTTTGATGAGCCTTGGTCCATGAGATTCCCATCGTAAAAGTGCATTTTGTGCTTGTTTGGACAGCATCAATGCAACTCCTTGTGTATGTGTGGCATTTTCTTGTTCATGTCCGGAGTATAACAGAAGCTCCCCTGAAGCTAGTCGTTGTTGTCCAATGTGTTTCACTGATCCCAAGCACCTCTAGGTTGTCTCTCCCCATTTTTGCAGCAATTTGGAAAACTCTCCCAGTCTCCCACATTGTACGAGCATTCCATGTACCTAAATAAATGGTTGCTCTGGTTGTCAGAAGTGGCATCGGCCTCGTGACTTCCGAAGAAACTCGGCTTTCATCATGAGGCGTCATAATTCTTCTAAACGAAGACCTCCTGACTCCCAGGGCAGAGTTTAAATGGTTTGAATTATTTTTTCTGGTTAACGTTTTTTTAGCGAGTTAGTTTTCTACGGGATGGGGTCGCTAACCCCATGCCCAACCCTCCTCCTTTATCCGGGCTTGGGACCGGCAGTAGCCCCCCGAAAGGGACTCCAGGCGGAGTTATTTTATACATCATACCAAAACACTTACTTGTATTTTTAGCTTGTACCAATGCCTATTCGTTCAAATATATAAATAAAACTCATCAATTCAAATTTGACAGCATGATTTTGATTTATTCTAGTGCTGCATCATCCATAGCATACTGACGATAGAATCCTTAACTGATTTAACAGGTACCGATTCGTCTACTTGGGTTAGAGTAACACTAAAAGTGTAAAGAATGGTGATGCTATCCAGGTGCCCAAACCGAACCTACAACTTAATGACTAAAAGTCAACTGCCCTAATCACTGAGCCACCTCTCGACTCCGATTTTGTATTATATACAAAACATAACTTAAAAGCTGTAAAACTCAACAAACCGTGCCATATTTTTGACATCAATTATGTCTGAGAAGAGTGTAGCTGTATGAGTTCTAATTGTTAGTTCTGTTAGTAATCAAGAATTTTATTATTGTTATCGTTTCTTCTAATTTCTCTCTTTCTCATTATAGACTGATATGGAGTCTCGTGATGTGGTGAATATTTTATCTCGATCAGTGCCGTCACCAGATCCGAATAATTCTTCCGATTCACAGCATAATGCCTATAAGAAATCTACTCTGTGTCCATTATCTCAACTTTCATCGCCTATTTTAAAAGATGAAGATAACGCTGTCAGTACTGATGTTATGTTTTCAACGTATGAAAGATTCGATAAAAAATCAAAACTACAAAATGGCTGGGTTAGTGACGGTATTTGTAGTTCTAGTTCTCCATCATTTCCTCCACCTCCACTACCTCCTAGACGATTGTCTACAACATCTAAAGAACAAGAGGCGACTGGTTATTTAAAACCTGTAGTAGTTAATGATTCAAATGTAAATGAATGTAAGTTTAGAAATTGGTTTTTGAACTTCATTTTTACCAACTAGTAAAACAGAAACGTAGGTTCGATCTTATGTGCAGTCGTCGATGCACATTATAGATCCGAATCACATGTCTAGTACTGTGTAATTTACAACAGTTCGTAACTGTTTAAGTTCCTTAGTGATGTGGAGGATGAAATCCAAGTGCTTCAGAATTTCATATCGAATATTTCTCACCAATTCACTAGATAATTATCTTCTTATTCATACAGTAATACAGAATCAGGATCCTTCATGCACACATACCTTACGTTTGATAGACGTATACATGTCTGACAGGTGCTAGATTCTTGACGGCCATTTTTTTATATCTGGTTTGGGATTTTCCGGCTGCTAACAGTTTTGAGTAAATGTGTGTTTCCAAGTTAGTGAAGTGATCAGTTTCGGAAATTTCTCAACTCTGTATTGTGTTACCCACTATTGTAGTGAAGGAGAACACAGGTGAGGACAACCGAATTCTATTTAGCGCAAAATTACAGTTACTTGGTAAAATAGAAAAACCATACTATAATACTTTACTTGCAAAATGTCCAACAATTATTTCGGACTTCAATGTTCTTGCATTTCCATACTAATTGCCCCCTATTCCCGTTCATCCTTTTTTAATCTTCCCCATCTTCTGCTGCCAGACATTGCATTCCTAACTCGCGTCATATACTACCTATAGCAATATAAGTAGCACGCACAACACTATCACTGAACCGTGCTTCTAAGAAAACTATCGTACAACAGATAGTTGCAGCATTCATCAAAAGTATTTTGATTTTACTCAGTTGTTTTATCGTGACATTCTTAAGCTGATAGGGTTGGCATATTCTTTACAGATCGTAAAAATTGCGCACTGATCTACCTGTACTAATTTAAAAAACAAAGATTTCTCAGGCAAACAAATAAAAGATACAAACCACACGGGTATTATGAAACAAACGACTAGCGAAACTTTTTCATTTTGTAAAATATTAAGCTAGTAAACTTTCTTATCCGAAATATTGTTGTGCAAAAATTAAATATGATTGAAAGTTATTTTTAAATACGTAGGCGACTCAATGGTCTTTACAAATTGTTCAACTTATCTATAGGTTCCGATATTTATCTGTTTGCATTGAATTCATGTTATTAATATCGGTTGGACATTTGAAACCAATTGTGCAATTAACGGTTTCGTATAATATTTTTGTTTACTTGTAATCCCTCTGTCTTAGTTTTGTGTTTTTGAATTGGTTCTATTTTGTTCATTATACAATATATTTTAGTAAATTTCTATAATCCTGTGAAATTGTACACACGTCATAGTCAAGATGAGATATTTGTTATTCGTCTACCATTACTAATTAATTCTTCATCAAATTACACCCATAATGTTAACGAAGAAACGGGAAATTTAGGTTTGCATCTTGTTAGCTGTTCTTATCCCGACAGTATGGCTACATTTGTTGCAAGCTGTCAAACGAATTCTAGTGGTGGTCTTGAGTGTGGAGATGAAATTGTACAGGTTAGTTATGATGGATAACAAATTATAGACATTGCGATTTTGTCTTCATTGCAAAATTCAAGTTAATTTACTGAATATTCTTAGTTATTTTTTAATCATATACAAAACAAAACCTTAATATATATATATATATATATATATATATATATATATATATATATATATATATAAAACAAATGTTTTTTTAATTCATTTAACGAAGTGCTTCATTATTCTACTTCATGATTTACACTATCTCAGAAGCGATAGCGAAGAAACTTACTTTTGACATTTTAATAACCCACTTATCAAGTACAGATTTATTTACTTCATTATGAGCTATACATTTCGTGTAAGGTCTGTGAGTTTTTCTAGGTTGCCAAAAACCGAATTACTTTGAGCGATTAAGTTTATCGATTTAAAGACCACTAATTCTTCGTATTGAATTACACTGAAGGGTGTGTACGTGTCGTTTCCAGAGACATTCAATTTTTTTTTCGGGAAATCCATTCTAATACTTACATAAAAATGTGTATCATTCAATCAATAAAATACAACAATTAAATGTTGACTCTTCGAAATTTGTTGCCGTTAATCATGTAGTTCATATTCATCATCAACAACAACAAAATGACTGCCACATTTTCAGTACTTTTTATCCAATAAAATTGCCTGCACAATCACAATCTAATTGGTTAATTGTTCAAGGAGGCTTCTTTTGAGAAATTTCATACACATAGTTCACTTTATCTTTGTTCTTACTCTTTTTTAATAGTTAGCTGTTGTTACTTATTTGTCATTACCCGTGGCTCCCAAACACGTTTTACATATAAAGTGATTGTAGGTAATCGATCAACAACCTTGAACCTACGTTTTGTGCTATTTGTCACTCGTTGGCAAGCTGTGCCTGTAATCTTTAAAGATCTAGTTTTTCAGTCTACAAGAAATGCTCTCAGAGAAAATACCTTCATTCTCTGACCCTTCAGAAGTCGGTTTTCTATCAATAGGTTCAGTTTTTGACTTAGAATACCCAAATGTTATAGTTCTGTTTGGTGAAGTCTTTGACGGAATATGATCTCCTGATCAACGTAAGAACAATGCAAACATGTTCGGAATGCGGATTGGATTGCGTCATCGCCTGAATTAGTGATAGGGAGTGAGGTAATTGTGTCGACCGCTCCACTTATCTAGGAAGTTTCATCAGTACTGATGGTCTGTGGTCTGGTGAAATTTCGGCACAGATTCAGAAGACTCGATTGGTTTATGCTAACTTGCATCAACGGTGGCGTAGGCGAGATATCCGTTTTCCAAACAAAGGACGAGTTTACTGCTCAGCAGTTTGCTACGTTATACTTAACAGATGTTAAACATGCTTACATTTGCTTGTTATCTTTCGAGGAGGATCACGAGTCACCCAATATGCTCATGTACACCATGGTGTCGAAGAATTTTTCACAAGATTCTCCTATATACACTGTCATATGATTTTTTATAGTTGGTTTAATATCTCTTATATCATACAGCCTTTATGTGTTATTTTAAATGGCGCTTTCTTGTTTCTTTTTCATTTGCTTTTTACTGTTTGCTTACGTGCATGTATATCCGATATTCAGGTTGAAGACGTCAATGTCTGTGGATTAGATCATATTTCCGTTCAACAGATTATCCATTCAAAAATCACCGAATTAATGTCGAATAAGTATTCAATCAATAACTCAAGTAGTAATTATTTTATTGGTAATGATGATAATGGACAAGTGAACGATTCAGATCAATCAGTTATCAAATCTTTCATTACACTAATCATAAGACGTAATCCAAAAAATTTGTCAATAATGTCATTTTCGAGGGAGTGCAATGATTCACCGTTGAGTGTAAATAATTTGACTGGTGTAAGTTAATTTCACTGCAATATTTTTTTTCCAATTTATATCAGCTACTGCATTTTTAGTGATAGATTTTTAAAAAACATTCTCACGTGTATAAGCTTATTTGCTTGATATTGTAAAATAATGATGTGTTGTCCTTTTTTGACATGTATTGTCATTGAACAAAATTGTGCTTAAACATTTGTCTCCCAAAGTATGAAAATAATGTAAGTATAAAAGTCTTTACAATTAATAAATATTCTATGAGTTGGGTGAGCTGGTTACTATTGTTAATCTGGAGTTCAGTGAATAACTCTGGTGTTAAATGCAATGTGTACTAGGTCCAGGTCTCAGTAAAAACACTAATATCAATATGTATGTACAAAAATCTAGTGATTTTCGAATAGGACAGAAATTATATCATGGTTTCCACCCCTAGTTAGGCTGTTGATTTTGCTTTAGTCTTTGGTTAAGATTGAAACATCGTGATTTCAACTTTTAAAACCAACAAAAATTTGAGTTTATGCATTTGTTGACAATTTTTATGATTAATATAGTACATATTTTTTTTGCTTTAAGCCCCTCAATTTCATTTCCTCGTATTGCTTGGGTGTTTCAGTTACTCGATTAAACTGATGAATGTGAATGTATTAAATCACATTTTTGTTATTTAGAGTTATTCCAAATACTGGAAAAAAAATCAAGTTTAATAATATATTCGACGATTGTCTCCATTATAGGCTACCATCAATTCATAAATTTTAAATCATTAATCAACTGTTTTGTCTTAATTTAAAACTCTATCAATGAGTTATCTAAACCACATTTAATTTACGTAAGAATTTTCAAATTTCGTGATTCATCTGACACATTTAACCTGAAATACTGAATTTCATTCGGCTGTTCCCGACATTAGTCTATCATAGTGTTTATCTATTGCCATCGATAGGTAACCTATTCACTCTCAACATGGTTGACTCGGTACGTTATCCTTTTTTTTCAAAATGAAGTAATCCTCTTACGACCCGAATACCAAATCAAAAATCTACACCAATTATCGACCTTTTTTCAAACTGCATGCCGTGTTAATTAATCAACGTATTATAATGTGATGTCAGATTACAATACACTTTGTTCTTGAACACTTTATCGAATGAATTTTGAGACGTTTATTATTTACTATTCAGGCAATTTACATTGATAATGAATTAGGATTTTTTGTGTATGTACGTACTAATACCCATATAACTAATTAATTATAGTTCTCAATATAAAAAGTTTATCTAATTTATGCTTATTCCAGTAGCTAATAGAGTCATCATTAGATCCTCTTATTTCATTAACAGTTTCATTTTAAGGTCTAAAATACGTTTTCTAAAAAGGAAGTATTGTATGTACTGAAACTGTTATATATACGAGTACACGTTATACATCATTCTTACCTTCTCTAGAATTCATGTGACTAAGGGGAATATATACATTTTTCAAATGATATAATTGATTGAATGAAGCTTGATATTTTCGTTAATCTTTATAAAAATGTCTCATATTTTAAAGCATTATCAATGATAATTTATTTCCATACTAATAGTTTTTAATCTATTTTAGTACTGTTTCCTTATGTTAAACGTATCTTTTGTGTAGAGCACCTGTTCAAAAGCGCTATTGTCATCACCACCTAATCAATTACCAACTGGTTCAAAGCCAATTCCACATACATTTCTAAAAGAGATCATGGTTGAATTAAGTGAAGATTTTTGGAAATTTCAACTGTTCGACATTATATTGGAGAGAGTAAGTAGGACGAATCGACTTTATTGTGATGAAAAACATCTACAGATTTTTCTGTTGTGTTTATCGAAAACGAAAGAAATATAAGTGTTTTGATTATTATCTTATATTGTCGTGATAATTATATTTGTTTGTTTCACACACTGTTTCGTCTTTATTTGGTTTATTGTAGTGTAGAGATACCAGCCACATCAGAGATATTCAGAAATATAATTTTTCTACTCATTGGGATATAACAAAAAATATATTTATTACTAACTTTCTACCCAATACTCACTTTATTTGAAAATATTAAGTCCAACCTTGGCATTGATACCGAATTAATAGTTGAAGGTTGATTACATTTACCGCAGAACCACATCACTTTTCATTTGAATTAATGTAGTAACAATGTCATATGCACTGTTAAGAAAATAGATATGATAGTAGGTATTAATCTCTTCATTAAACTTACTTTGTCCCGAATAATCCTGTGCATCATAATTCCATTAAGTGTAATGTGTGAATGTTAAAATAGGACTAAGAACACATGGTTTAAACATTGATATCGTTTTTACTCCTGATATTATTTTAATAAATCGACTAGCTTCGTGTGATTGAGGCTAATAAATATGATGGTCCAGTACATGGTTGGTTGTGATTTTCAATCTGTTTTCATCATGCTTATTCTGAATTCTCACGAATATTGTTTTATATGATAATAAATATTTTTATTGATAATGAATTCATACACTGTTATATCTTTAGTACGATATTGATAAATCTTCTGACTTGATACTTGAATCGGTTCCCTAAGCTATCTAATAACTCCAGGCTAAATCTACACGACAACTTGAACACAAGAGAAAAGGCGCGGAATATGGAAAGAACGCTTTACTCCAAAATTCGTTCATGCACAGAAAGCTGAGAGTATTTATAACATTTCTGGGCTTCTGGAACCTTACTAAACATATTAGCAGGATAGCTAATCATCCAATCAAAAGTGTGTTGGAGTTGAAAAGAGAGCTATCACGGGTTCACGTAGTCTGCGTACGAGAACGAGATTCGGTGATCAAAGTCCAGTAAGCTAGCTATTGCTGCGCCCCAGCCCCGCTATCTAGAGGGAGAAGTCCAAGCTCGGAATGAAATCACATACATGAAAAATACTCACAGTTATAACAAATCATATGCTGAGTAAAGTTCGTAGTCAATGGAATACAAGAATATTGTATATTATACAGAATAAAATATCATACGAGAAAAGAAAACAAAAACTACATTGCGTAATCATTACATTGAATCAAAAAGGATGTAATGATGAATAAAACTCATATTGAGTAAATCATTCGAATATTGATTTTTCTTCCCATCATATCAAAGTGTGACACGTGACTCTGCACTTTCTAGATGTTTCTGAGAAACTTCTATTCAATTCTGAATGGATAAAACGTTTCCCAGCTTTTTTGGGCCGTTGTGGGCAATTCCGAGGAATATTTTGGATCTTCTCAACATATATATATATATATATATATATATTATATATATATAAAGTAGCACTTTTCGAGTAACATGCTTAATTATTGTAGGATTAAAAGTCCTCTATACCCTTTAACTGCGTCGACTTTTTCTCTTAAAATCAGTACTGAAACAAACCTTGATATTTTCAAAATCGGTTTGAGTACCAGTTCATTTTTTTTTGTTTTCAAACAACTATTTATTACGTTCCTGTGTCCTGTTCGTGAACTTGCACTTAACTACTAAAAAACACCAGTTGTTTATCTGTTACTGCACTATACAAATCATAAACAATATACCTTGTCGTTATCTTTTGGTTTCCTAGTTAATTTTACTAATAGATTTATCCAACTAGAAAACCCTTTTGTTCATTTTCTTTAGATTAAATAATGTTATATAAAATACAAACAGTATGGTTATTTTGATTAGTAAAGCTGTAATGACTATTAATACTGGAATCGAGGAACCACTGCGATTTCCACTACGCTAACTAGTGATTATAGGAATCTTATCGGCTCTTCAAACACGTCGCTGTTAATTTAAAATTCACTCATTTATATGGAATTTTACACAGCTTCATAATTAGTTAATAAGTAATACGTATGGTAAATACACAGATGTTACTACAAAAATACTCATAGTACACATGTGAATAAGTGTTACTTAAAAAATGCAACTGACATCATGCCGAACAAAATAGTACCATGAGAGAAAACGTGACCTGACCTCTATCCTATGTTATCGAAGATAAACTCGCTAAGCATGACTTTTAGAAAATATTATTGTTGTAGTAATCAAGTGGTAAAGCTAACACTCAAATCATTTGAAGCGTCTTACATTTTTTTAAAGCAAACTGCAGAGTAGTGACCGCGTAAATCTTACAATATGTACTGAATGAAAAAAACGTCTTGTATTATCTGTATCACGCAAATAAATAAGTTTATCATTTTTTCTGTCCAATCTATGTTACTTATAAATGATAAATATCTTATTACACACCTTCACCCGCACACTGTACTATTAAAATCGAGGCGAATTGTATTCTTCTTCATGTGATCATTGAGAATAATCCAAGTTGATTATCCGTAGCAAAATATTTCTTTGTGTTTAAATGTTGAATAGCTGTAGATTATCTTTAAGAGTATACTCAATGAATTCTGAATATCTTGATCCTTTTGTGCTAAGTTCTTTTCAATATTCAACTGTTGATTAATTTCAACGTTCTTTTTGTTCATAGGGTTCAGACGGTTTCGGTATTTTCATCGTTAATTTAAGTCCAAACAATGAACCTGGTGTATTCGTCAGCGAAATCCGTCCAAACAGCCCAGCACAACTAGTAAGTGGATCTCACAGTATGTATTACAGTGCTTCTGAATTAGATTTTCATTACTTTTATACTAATCACTTCTAAGTATTAGTGGCGGGAGAACTGGCTATCCTCATCGGGAGTAACAAAATTGGATGACTATAAAAGTCTACTGTTCTTGATAGGCTCAAAAACTTATGAGGACACTGTGATTGGCTTAGGGTTAACTAGCTATTGAAGTTATACGCAAACATAAATTTCTCAAAATAAAATTACAAAAATAAGACGTTTGCTAAGTGATTTCTGGGGATTTAACATCCCTCAACTGTCTAAAGACGCTGCTCAGTCCAGCACTTTATGTGCTGATTTCATGTCTTGATCTGATTGCTTATAGGTTTGCTTTATTTTTGCAATGTAATGCTTAGAAATGTTTCCTGAATGTCGTAAAATACATTCTACATTGTTTATTTTTTTTGCAGCAAGGAGTTCTTAGACCTCATGATCGTATACTAGCTATTGATGGTCAACTTCAATGTGATTATGAAAGTACACTGGAATTGTTGCAAAAATCAAGAAAATCTGTACGCCTAACCATCGGTAGACAAATACCTTGTCACAGTGACTCACAAAAAATGCTACAATTTGGACATGTAGCTACAACAGGAGATAATGCAGATAATGATATAAAGCACCATAAATTATCCATTATACCTGGGATTCCTGCTACAGTTACTCTGTACAAGACTGACGGAGGTCTCGGATTCTCGATTGTTGGTGGAAGTGACACAGTTTTGGTATGTGCTATTTGGTTAAATATAAATGATGATGTATTCAACTTACTATTGTTATAATCTGTTTTACCAGCACATAAATTTAACCATACTGCTAATAACTATCCAATATTCCCGATGCTAACCGGGTTTCAAAATACATTGTAGTTAGAGTAGTCAAACGTCGCAGCATAAAATTATCTCCCCATCTTTCATTTCTAGTAGAAAAGCTTTCCTCCTTGACTCAGAAGCTGTGTTTATTCCAAGTGTTTTTTTAGGAACGAACGCTAATTATTTTGTTACATTTTATTCATTCTTAACTCTATTGTCTTAAATAACATCCTTTTTATGTTATATAGGAATTACGGGTTTTATTCCCTCATTTTATCACATTTCTCTTTGCCCAATTTTTTAAATTATTGATCACTCCATAGATTTCTTTCATTTTAGTGACCGATGTACTCAATAATCTATCTGAAGTATAAGTTGGTCACCTTTTTTCCAATTTTTATGGTTGTTCCTAATTCTATCAAGTCAAATGTAAGTTTATAAGTTAGAATTTCATTGCTAAATATGGAATGTACGCAAAGATAATTAATTAAGATTTTCATCCTGGCTAATCAAATATATGGTTAGAGTTTATTCTGGTGGAAGTAAAATAGGTATCTCTTGAGACTATATAGTTTCATCATTACTACTTAACATGTTATCATATAAATCTTAAGTGGCAGTGCGAAAATATTAGGCGTTTATTTTTCTGTATATTATGCTATTTTACAAAAGAGAATGGGGCTTGTTATCAAAACGTTTTTAACCGACTAAAATTTTTATAATAAGTCAATTCAATGTTGTCTAATCCAGTCCACTTCTATTTCATAAACATAGTTCACTTTATTTTCTTAAAGACAGCATAAACGAAGTTTGTTGCATTATAATATGAATTCATTTTATTTCGTTAGGTTCTCATCAGCTGCTTAAAATCAAAGATATTACAGATATGGGCATACTTATAAATACGAGGGTGATTAAAGATGAATATATGTATCATAATGTAGCGAAGATTTTAATAGAGTTAATCAGGTCATAAAAGTCATTTTGTTTCGGATAAATAAAGTCTGGGAAGGAAAGTTCCAGACTTTATTTATCCGAAACAAAATGACTTTTATGACCTGATTAACTCTATTAAAATCTTCGCTACATTATGATACATATATTCATCTTTAATCACCCTCGTATTTATAAGTATGCCCATATCTGTAATTGATAAGTCTTGCAATTTCAACGCTATACTCGGTTCCTAAGCTATTCTTGTAACCCCCAAGCTAGAACTATACAGCGACCTGAACACAAGAGAGAAGGCGCAAAGTATGCGAAAAGTACTTTACACCAAAGGTTTATTTTAATACAGAAAATATAGGGTTTTGATAATATTCCAAATGTTTTTGGGTTGCTCGAAGATTCTGGAATGCTACTAAACATAGTAGCAGTATAGCGATCAGCCAATCAGAACCTCTACATGTGAAATTTCACTTCCTTGATGTTTCTGGCTAAAACTTCAACTGAACGCTGATTGGATGAAATGCTTCTTAGTGTTTCCTGATCCTTGCTTGTCTTTGGCGAGAAATTTTTTGAATCACCCCAACAGTAGTAACTTTGATTTTAAAATATCATAGGTTGTAAGCAGCTGATGAGAATTTAACGAAATAAAATGAATTCATATTATTCTGGACCAATCTTTGTTCTTGCTCACTTCTATTTATTAATTTTACAGATATAATATGATATGCTTGATTATATGGAAATAATTACCCTTTTTCTACTCTTTACTATATGTTAACTTGCTACAATTTCATATCACGTGAGATATAAGCTAAATTTGTAGTTTACATCATTGACTGATTCTACTTAGACGTACATTGAACTATGGGGAACATTAAGGTGCTGTTTCGTTTTAGCATATAGCTCCTTAAGCGTTTCTATGCGCAACTCAAATTAAGATCGAACGCGGAACCACTAGGCCTCGCCGTGAGGATGTCTCCGTAATATGGACTGCGTACTAAACGATCGTTCCCACTAACTTTCCTATCGAAAGATAGATTTCCACATACATAATTCATCTAAGCATATCAGATTGACTACCAGTGAATCACTGCTCCTTTTTATTTCTTTCTTTAAAGAGTAACATTTTGGTCCATGAAGTGCACTCTGGCGGAGCTGCTGCACGTGATGGTCGGCTTCAAGTTGGTGACCGTTTATTAGCTGTCAATGGAATCGATCTTCGTGAAGCTACCCAAAAAGATGCCACAAAGGTATTTTGTTTTGTTCTCATGACTTCTTTTTACCAGTGATTACTGCTTGAAATTCCACACATTGTCTCCGTAAAATTTAACTTTCAATTCTAGTTCTATTGAACTTGTCATCTATATTTACTTCAATTACCAGATTATACGAACAGCTGATGACTGTATCCAATTGGTTGTGTACAGAGATCCTGAACCACAATATATAAATCAAGGTGTATTCGAATGTCATAATGTTCACTTGAAACGTGATATGCCTGGACAAAGTTTTGGTCTGTCATTGATTGGTCGACCTCATTATTCGACTGGTACAGCTATTGGCGGCATTGTAAGTATATATATATATATATATATATATATATATATATATATATCAATTATTATTCAATTGTTATCATTACCTATATATTTTTCGTCTCTTCTTTATATCTGTCATGTGGATGATTATTTCCTAAATGTATGGTCCTTAAATTATTTCCATTTTTCTACTTTTCTTTAAACTCGAGATTGTTACGCAAACGTTTAGTACTTGAAATCTCTGAGGTCTTTATAATTTGGTCTCTTTCTATTCCTGTTTAGACTTATATATTGATTGAGCCACCATGAATACAATTGTGCAAATTTAGTAAATCATATCGTTGGAGAGAAAATTTTCTCTGGATTTCCTTCTGTATTCAGTAAAATAGTGGGTTTCTTCCATTATTTTTCCGATATTTGGTAAAACTGAATGTTCTTAAAATTTCGTAGTACTCAAATAGCTGCGTCTTACTATGGATCAAATCCGACCATGAGTTTATGGTCATCCTCGTATATTTGTGATTGATAGTTTCTCCCAAAATAGTGTTCCTATAATCATCATTAGTTCAAACTTTATTCAATATAAAATAACAATCAGTTGAATTTAACAACACATCTTCCCTTTGAATATGTATGGAGTGTAGAGCTTTATTTCTTTGTTACCCTTACTCAATTAATTGCCCATCATTTAATTTATCGCCTACCTTATATTCACAATGATCCATAGAAAATTCGATTACGTCAATTCCTTATTTTACAACGTTTAATTATATTGGTCAACAAAGTTATTTGGGTCAATTTGTGATTCTTTTTTGAATTTCATGTACGTTTCAGCTATTTTTTATCGAAATAGAACTATGATATCTCACACCTTCCTCTGTTCGATGGTTTGTCTTCTCCTTTTCTGTAACCAGATAGAGAATAGTCCAGCTGCTCGTTCAAATCTTTTAGAAGTTGGTGATATAATTTTAGAAATTAATGGTTGGGATATGCGTTTGGCTAAATCAGATGAAGTAATCAATTTATTAAAGGTTAGTTAGTGTTGTCTTCTTAGTGAGCGTAGGTTCGAGATTGTAAGCTACATAGTTGTACAACAATATAAATTCAGTTACAAGCATACTATTTATTATAAAAATGTTTAAATTTCTTGTCCTAGATTGAATGTCTGTTGGTGTTTTGACAATATATCCATTACTTTAAAAGGTTGAACTTCATTTTGTTTGCTTACTCATAAGTGTGTGATAATGTGGAACTACGCAGTAATATACCCTCGGGCGAATAATAAAATGTGATTGAAAGCCAGAATTTATTGAATAAGACAAAAAGTTATCTAATATATCGCATTTGTCATTTTTGTACGGTTTATTTGTAGTCAATATTCAACAATTATTCTTTCCAAGACCATTAGAATTGCAAATAACAGATAAATTACCATAGCATATTTTTAATTAGTGACAGTTAATCCACTATAGAATATATATATATATATATATATATATATATATATATATATATATATATATATATATATGCATGACATTAGTTTTAATTAAATTTTACAGGTTTATAAAATGTGAATTACAATTTATTCATTGATTTCATTCCCAATTAAAGTTTTAAATCTTGATAAACATATTCTATTTGTCATTACATAAACCAATGATTATATTCATTCATGTCTACGTGTTTTGATTTTTTTTTTGCATACAGAATGCACATAACGACGTGAAATTATTGATTGGACGTTACAAAACTGGGCCATCAATGCATGGTATGTTCTTATAAAACACTTGTGTTTTGTTTTGTTCGTAAATTTGAACTTATTTCTAAACAAACCTCCATCTTTTGTACTTGTTTGGACGTGGTCGTAATCAATAAATTGTAAAGTTTTTTTGATGACAATTTGGAAGGCGAATTCACTCACCAAATGATTGAATATGTATTAATAATGAATCGAAGTTATCCCTCATATACAAAAATATTCAACTGACGTTATTATAACTTTTTAGATGATCAATAAGTAATTATGAATAAAAATGAAAGCTATATTATCATTCTCCCTCTAAACGTCATTTCATTTCTAAGGTTGGTGGTTGTGAAAGCATTATTATAAAGGCTAGGAACTGTAACCCTTACACCTTCAACCAATTTTATGCTTCCGTTTAAGCTCGAGTTATCTGGATCGTTGGTTAGTTTTTTTAAACACTTTCATGAATGATCGACATCGTTTTGCTTTATGGTTTTAAAGATTTTTGTAATTTTGTTAGTGATGATACAGAAAGATGAATTTATGAAGTTAAAAAGTAAAGAAGCGAAATTAATAGAACTTATGATTGTGGAAAGCTATATATCGAAAAAAATATATAACTTAAGAGTACTTATTTTGCTCTACAATCGGTTACCTGAGGATTACCACACACGTATCAATCAAGAAGCTCTCACTTCCCGACACTGTTAGTCTAACAGTGAATAACTTGATTATCTGATAACACTCACTAGCCTTTTTCTAACCTGTGACTTTACTAGTAAACACAAAAGTTCACTACGTCTCACCTTTATCTGAATAATTTTTTTGCTTTTTATTATAATTGTCTACTGCTAACAAACAAAAATTGTTTTATCCACCTCTTGTTTTATTTTTTTTCTCTAACTGCTGTTGCGTTGCTCATCAATGTCGAAATTATTATTTTTGTTTTTTTGGGTATTGTTGTTGTTTGTGATGATAACGACTACGTATCATATATCATCTCCATATTTATCTTGCTTCATCTCGTTATCTCTTTGATCGGACCTTTCTGTTTATTCTTTCTGCACCATACTATCCAATGCATCTGTTTACATTTTTTATTCTATGAAATGCGTTGTTGTTGTTGTTCTTGTTACTATCATACAATTTAATGTTTTTTTCTCTCCATATGTGTTCCTGATTGTCACTTATTATCGCTATATGTAGGCCGTTAGTTTTAGCTTATTTGTCTGCCTGCCTACTTATTCAGTCCTTACTTATTTCATTGTATATAGTTAATCATTTGATGTGAAATAATCTTTACAAAAAACAAATGGATATATGCCTCACAGAAGCAAGCGGAGGATTGAATGAATGGTCAACATAATAGAAGGAATGAAAATGATAAAAACTATATAAATTTTTTTATAACTGAATCACATAATCTAAATCATAAACGATATTTATATAAACAAAATATTCGGATAGTGAGATTGACTTTGTTTTTCTGCGCGTGTAGTATGAAATTTTATTTTTGCAGTTAATATATATTCTCCACTTTGTTCATAATAAAGCATTCTCTCTTATTTCATGTGTTAACTTTGTTATTTTATAAGATTTATTGTGGACGATTTATTCTAACTTCATTTCTCAAGTTTTCTCTAACTTTCCTGATCTCTTTTATGTCAACAGAAGTATCGTTATCAACTTATCTAAGATTTTTAACTGATATGTGATGCAGTAATGTACAAATGTTCCTATACGATTGCACTGGAAAACTTTTTCTCCTGTTGTTCTAATCACTTATACTTTAATATAATTTCTAAACTATATACTGATTCACGTATGTATATACATGTATTACTAAATAGTTTTGCTGGTGTGTATTTGTTTGGAATTTCTGCATTGATGTTTAGACGTTTGTGTTACGGTAGATATGAGTCAGCCCATTATTTAGAGCATGTGTGAATGCGTTCATCACTCGTTGTTTTTAAAATCTCATCATAATACCGTTGTATTCGCATCCTGTATACGATGATCCCATAACGAAAAATATGAGTATATCCATATATCTGCATTTTATCTCATAGCCTATCCTCGAAATCGATTAAATGTCTATGTGGTTGTACTTGAACGTCGTCAATTTGGCTTTTGTAATGATCGTTCTCAGGTGGAAAAACCTTATTCTAATGATCCTGATATTCTTGTCGATTCTATCTGTCAAAAAACTGATGAAAATGAATTACACGATTTAAAATCCTCAACCAACTATATTACCGTAAACAGCGATCAGAAGTTTAGTGGTGATGACGGTAATAATAGCAATGATGAAATTGCTTCAGCTGCATTTGGTTTACGTATTCGTCAAGCGACTTCACAAGAATTATGGGACTCACACATTCGACTAATCGTAGATAGTATACAACATGACAGTCCAGCAGATCGATTAGGAATGATAATGGTAAGTAGTAGTTTCTTGCTTCTCTTCTGTTTTACCAATGTACATTAGGACTAAGAAGGTTTAAAAGAATACTCTGTTTTAAATCATTTTAATGATATTGATCGCTTTATTCAATATCATATATTTGACTACAGTAAATCTTTCAGAGAAGTTTGAGCAGGTCGACAATGTCGTTTATTAAAGCTGTACAGTTGTATTCATAGTTATTTTTCGAGATATACATTGTTGAAGAAATAGGTATTGCATCATAAAGAAACCATTGGATAATTCGAGGTATCAAACTGCTATTGTTTAACAGTCTGATCCTGATAATAGTTAATACTTCATAGTCGTTGTATTCCTGTTCAATTAACAGTACAACTTCACCTCTGAACTGTCACTGGACTGTGAATTGTTTACATACTAACAGTAATTACTTTTAGTTTAATAGTATTATCATTTTTTCTTATTACAACCCAACTATTCCTATTGCTTAGTATTCTTGTAAACCAATTCACTCGACAAGTCCCCAAATCAGAACACGGTTGAACAGGAAAGAAATTATATCCTAAATAACAAGGGTAGATGGAACTAAGAAGCACAATAAGAAAAACGTTAGTATATTTGTATTTTTTACATGAGAAGATTCTAAAGTGTTCTCCGACTATCGACTAGTGCTGATTGGATAAGAATTAGCCAGTTGGCGTGCACCAACACAATAGTGCACGGAACATGCTTTAATTTAATCTTTGTCCCGCTAACCAATAGATATGTAACCGACCTCACTGACAAAAGTAGGACTTCGAAAAGTAAATATTCTAATCAACTTATTACGACTGAGTCAGCATCATAAGGAAACTCAGCTATATGTCTCGGTATCATCTGAGCCAAGCAAATAGTGTTATTATCATCAATTAGATTTCTGTTTTGTTTTTATAAATCTTGAAGGCTAATCATTTTAATACTGGGAATTCTAGTTATACTCATATTGATAGAAATAATAACAATTTGAGTGTGTTGAGGTAAATGGTAAAGCAAAGAGGTATTTCAACTTGAATGAATTGACGAAAAAATCCCAATTTTATAGATACTTCGTGACACGAAAATATTTTATTCTATACAGTAGAGTTTCCAAATGTTTATTAATCTTTTCTTTTGCTTATCTAGCCGGGTGATCGCCTATTAAGTATAGATCGTGAACCGGTGGATTGGTTGAACCCAACTGAAGTTGTCCAGCTATTAGCTAATCTACTGTATTGTACAATTGAATTAGGTCGTTTACCGTACTTCAACGCACCATTATCTGCTAACAATAATACTATATCAGATAAGTGTTTTAAGCCTTCTCCACAAGCGGTCACTTCGTCATTATCTCCATCTCATCAAATTCAACAAGATGAACATGATATGTTCCCACCTTATCCACCTCCGTCACTAGAACTACCGACATTATTTGGTGGCACTATGCCATGTATTGAAACACCAAGCTTTTTAAGAGATATGTGCACTTTGCCTGAACAACAAGATGAAGATGATGAAAGTAAGATTAATAAAATTAGATTTGGACATCGTGAGAATGATAATGATAATCATTATCGGTTACCTGAATCTACTTATTGTACAATTAATTCAAGCAATCAACAAGACCAAATTGATTCAGTGTTGAATATGACACCTTTGAATGAAGAAGAAATTGAAAAGGCTTTAGAATTATCTGAAAGAGGCAGTGGAGGATTTTTTGTACGACAGATTTATTTACCAGCTGCACCAGTTAATACTAACGATAACACCAATTCTAGTCATATATCAAATATTCATTTAGGTTTACGTTTAGTTAGTGGTCCGGGTGTTAGTGGACCAGTTGTTGTTCGTATTGAACCGAATTCATGTGCTTCTAGAACCGATATTCAGATTGGTGATCGTATTCTGGGTCTAGATGATAAACTGTTACTTTCTTTACGTCAAGATAATCATTCTGCTGATGATATACTATGTATGATTGAAAATGTTTGGATTACACGTTCAATAAATTCTCAGTTGACTTACGAACAAAATCCTTGTTGTTTAACAATTATTAGTTATCATAGCTTACCATTGTTCAGTTCACTTGGTAAACAAGAAAATGATTCTAAAATTAAAGAAAAGAATTCAAGTAAAAACCTAGAAAATAATACACAACTTAATATATCTTTAACAAATTTACATCTAACCAATGGTAATACTTCTAATTGTCAACATAGCATTAGTAGTATTGATATGGGAAATCCGAAAAATCACGTGATATCTAATACTACTATTCCTTTACCATTCGAATCCAAATTACCCAGTAAGTTCTATCTCAGTATTTTATTTTAATGATTTTGCTCATTAAAAGATTTGAGTTTTAAATGACGGAGAAAGTTTCCAGCTCAGGTAAATACTTTTGGTGGCGTCTTATTCTCTAATGTAGATTGTTTGATTGACAAGCTTTCATTGCCATTCCCAACATCATCGGCACTTACCTTATATAGAAGTAAGCTATTCCACGAACTTCAGTTTGTTCTCGTGACCCTACGATCAAAACCTTCAGTATACGTATATCTTCTGCTTTCACAAACTGTTTCACAGTTACACAGTAATGGAAAGCCGATTGGACTTAGATTAGTGTACAGATATCTCTAACGCACGTCGGTAAAGCCCAACTGAGCCTTCTGAATCTGTGCACAGATTTCGCCAGACCTCAGACCATCAGGGTTAATGAAACTAACAATATGAGTGAATTAATCAACATACTTAGCTACTTTACTCACTATCATTAGGTTGTGTTAATACAAACCAATCCTGAAGCAAAATCTTACATTCCGAGGGAAAGAAACTCATCCTGACACGAACATTCATTCATTGTTGCTCAAGGCGACCAGAAATCTCCATTTTGACATACCTCTGGTCCATTTGTGGACCTGATATGCGATCAACCTTGCGAAAATTTGTTGGAGTGTTATTCCTATAAGATCATTTATTACTAATTTAAATGAAAAAAAGGGTAGTGAGCAACCTTAGTAAACACCACTTAATGTTGGCAATTCTGATTAAAGTTTACCTTTGCCTCAACCAATAATGTTCTACTCTTCATCTTGATACACTGATTTTAGTCTTTTTAAGAGTTGTTCTCCTCTTTGCTGTTGATGCCGATTTTGTTACTCCTCTACTCTTGTTGATTTCTTCCTACAGTATGATGATCCATGGCGTGTAATATTTTGGACATTGAGACTGTTCTAATTTAATTTTATCTGTTTGTCAGTAATGCATCTGCAAGCTTATACACATATCTCTTTGATTTTTAGCTACTGCCAAACTAGCTAAAAATTGTGCTTTCAGATATCCAGACGACATTCAAAGGAATTAATAATAAATGGTTATGTAATTTTCAGGTTTGAATCTTTCCGATCGACTAACGCTACTTCGTGTCTTTTAAAAGTAGTTTTGACGAAACGTAATTGAAACATATAATGCAAGTTGTTGCTTCTTAATTTTTCCGACTGCTCAAATATACTGAATCTTCATTTTCTGCATCTTATTAATGTACGGTGGGTCAATAGACTAATTGGTCAAAAATTCGTGTACTTTTAATGACTTTGGTCAATTGTAGGGTTGGCATATGTGAGAGTTATATAATGAAGTGTATTTTATTGTATTGATTGTCACCTACCTTCTGTGTATCGATTGTATTGAGTCAAAATATACTGGGTCATTCACAAAAAAATGTTTTCTTCCTTACTTATTCGGCCCGCCTTACCCGCATTTTATCAATTATGTATTTAGTATTATAAATTATTGCAATTTAAGAGACAGAAAATACAACTTCATTTTTGTGTATCTGATTCATGGCACCTGATTTTTCATTATGTTGTTGAAAACGAAAAACCAAATTCATAAAATTTATTTTGGATGTCCGGGCTTCTTTCTAAACTTGTTTAGCTTTAAGTCATGTACACGAATTTGTATTTGGGTTCTCGATAGCTCTACATTAAGGAAATTTCAATTACAAGTTATTCTTGACCACTACTAGCTCTTTTATTGACTTCATATAATCTACACATATGCTGCCAGATTATAGTTTATCGCACGTGGAAATTTGTCATTTATTATATTGACCTTATTTTATGTGTTATGATTTATTTTCTGTTTTTTGATGCTTTAATTTTATTCATTCAAAAGTAGTGAGTAAATTCCAACGAAATGGAGGAGTTGGGCACCCTCATTCAGGTGAGGAGCTACATCCAAATTCACCATCATTACGTAATCACCGCTATGAATTGTCTCTTGAACCAAGCGATGATGTCAGATATCGTTTGCCGAATAAAAATCTTTTTGTAGATGATGCGATTCACGTGATATGTGAAAACGCTAGTACTAATACCAACAAAAATAATCCACAACACTCATCATGTGTTGAATCGGTATCATCACTTTCAACACCGCCACCTGAAGATGATGGCGTTATGTGCAATCGTCCATTGATGAATTTAAATCGTAAATTTTCTATTCAGAATAATCAACATGCCTATAATAACAATGGAATTATGAATAACAAAGGTTAGTTAGTATTTTAAACACAGATATCCCTTTTTTAATGGTGAATAATACCGATTAGTAGCAATATGCACACAAGTAGTACTGGAAAGTAATGAACACTGGTTACCATTACTACTATTGCCACCATAGAAAAAAGATTTAACTACAAATGACAATTGTTCTCGTTTGGTTAGTTCTCAATGAGATCTTTTCGTATTGACATGATTTATTACTCAAAGGATTCATCAACTGTGAAAGAAAGATGTTTAGACACATTTATACGAGCTTATACGGTTATCTTTAGTTGAGTAATTGAATGTAAAATGGTCTGGTACTTCGATGTTAAAACTTCTAATCGATTGTACAAATATATCTAGTTCGTAAGTTCCATTGAATGGTTAGCCTGTAAAATAGCAAACGTATTACTTAGTGATTATCAAATAAATCACAATAATAGCTCTTAAAAGGTAGAATTGTCAATTTATTTTATTTATTTATTTTAACACATAAGTATAGGTACAGGGAGGCACCAAAATACATATGCGCCACACTAATCTCAATTGATTTGTGTGAGGGCTGTGATACTGCCCGGGTGCCCAAACCGAAGCAGGTGGTTGTCTTAGGAGGCCACACCCCGAGCCTTTGACCTGAACGTCTGACCCACAAGGCAGTGGAGCATCGTGAGGAGATGCAGTCCCATGGTAGCCGGTGACCAACGATTGGTTCATACGCCATTTGTTCCATCAGGATACTGGAGCCCATGTGCACCATTGTTTTGGGGTCCGGTTAAAGCGCCAGACATTCGCTTTTCGTCCTCTCATTTTTGTAAACAACACCTGTTCCACGTGAAGGCAGTGAGTAGGACTTCCCTGGCAGAGGCTATATACGCATGGCCATGTGAGAGCATTTCGAGAGGGAGAGCGGACTCTCCCCACTCTCGGCCGTACCAGGGCATTTGGGGGCTGAATAAAACTAAATGAACTGCACATCAGTTACTGGTCTACTTATGGGGACTTATTTTGTAGATACGAGTTCGACTTTGTCCATAAACATCATTTGTCAGAATCAGTATATATATATATATATATCCTCTTATCATTGTTTTACAGCATGCCTTTAACACCGACAATAACAACAGTAATAAATCTACAATGAAATATCCAAACAGGCTCGTATAAATATAAATAAAATGAATACAATGATTTGTGTTTGGTTTTCTCCTCCTCTTCTATTTCTTATTGTAACATTTTATTCTAAACACTTGGTTTGTTTATTTCAAATTGTTAATATCTTGATTTATTTTTTTGATTGAGATTTGTGTCAAGAATAATACTGTTATTATCTCTCTCCCTTTTTTTTCGAATGAAATTAGAGTGATACTTGTTTTTCTTGTAATGTGTTCCCTCTATTTTTTCTGAATAAAAAGACTATCAATTATCACGCAGACAGTTCAGCCAATTAACTGTCGTTGATGCAGTTGGGACTAGGAATTTCCACTCTGTATTTCGATTGCTAAGTGCAAGTTGCTCGTTCCTTAAAAATATTAAAATTATCAGTTTCATTCATTTTTTCAACTACACTTTGTGTCTACCATAACTAAAAGGATGTCAATATTGCATAATTCCCTTTTTCGAATGTGAAATCTTTATCTAATTTGATTATTTTTACGAAAGTTATTTCTTACAGGAAATCAACATATAATTGTGAATATATGGACATTTGTGATTCATGTAACTTATTTCGGTATATATAAACAAATAAAATAAGCACTGACATCAAATACAGTTATTGTGCAACCTTTCAAATATTATTGTCTATGTGGAGGTGATCGGCTAACGTTTAAGCTGTTTAGCTTTCACACAAACAGTATAACTCAAAACCTATTATACAAACCCATAATTCGGTAAGCGAATCTAATGAGAATGATGCGGACCAACTAGTATGGGTAATTAGTATTTCAATGGTCACCAAGCGGGGGTCCTATCGCATACTTTTCATGAATACAGCCTATTTATGATATGTAGTGCCGCGACTTTAGTCACCAATGAGCTCACGGCTGTGCTGGTTCCAGTCAAAGAACTTTTAAAGCGAATGCACTAGATTTTTCGAACTGCTTCGGCACTCCTTAGAAGTATATGCTGGCGACCTATGGCATTTTGCCTAAGATCGGTAGCTGGTACGAACCATCCACCAGCTCATAATCTCTTACTGCATCCAATTCATTGTACAGCGCAGCCTACTGGCGTTATATTTGGGTAACTGCTTCTTATCGAATTCTTTAACACTAGCTTCCAAAAAGCTTCGGGATATCTATGCTAGAGTAAGCAATATTAAACACAAGTTACTCTACTTGTTTAACTGCTATTGAGATCCACGATTTAAGTGTTATTCTAGACATTACGAACAGTTCTCCAGGTAGGATTGCAGACACGGTTTATATCTCATGATCCTAATGCTACGGACAACCGAGATCTTTTTTACCGGTTCCAGTTGAAAGACAATCTTGACTGCACAAAGAAGTTACAATGATACACCGGAATCAATTATTTAAACGGTGAAAAGTCTGCTATTCATTAATTTTTATGAGGATCGTTGATCGAGGTAGGCTTACACACGTACTGAAACATCCTCTGAAAAAGTAACGAAAATTTTGTAGGATTTTCTAGGCGGTGACATTTTAAAAACGGATTGATTTACTCAAGTTTAGATTTGATTAGTTTAAACATTCGAAGTACTTGACGAGATCAAACTTAACCCGAAATATGAAGAGAAGAAAACGCCCAGAAGAAACACATTGTAATCACTAATAATATAATGAGCAAAGTAGTCACAGTTATAAAAAGATTCCTTTTGAGCACAAGAAAGAAGAGAGAAAAGATATGTCCTTGTTAGTTGACCAAACGAACATATATTCCTATTAAAATACAAAGATGTTTGTCAATATGTACTTTTATGGAGTAAGTATTACATTCTTCAATTAAAACATTATTCCGGTTCCATGGGTTTTATCGTAAGAATTGATTTGGAAAATCCTCTTTAGTCTGGACAAAATCGAGGATGATCAACAAAATCATCACCATAGGCAAATATTGCTAAAGCAGAAAGAACTGAAGCTCCACCCCAGAATAGTACGTAAGTTGCTTTCTCTGTCCAATGAGCTGAAAACAGATATAAACCAAATAAAAAACTATAAGACTAATTTTCTTCGAAAATTTTCTACAAAATACAACTTTTACAGAATTACCATTGTTACAGGTTAGATAGTCCATCACAGGCAATACAAGACCTGAAGTAAGTATGCATAGATTTACGTTGCCATACCTCATATATGTACACAAAGAAATCTGAAACTAACCAACTCATTAGGGCTATTGTTAGTCAGTCAGTCAGTCAGTAACAACGTGGAACTTCGTACGTACGTACATCAGTTCGAGTTGCCATACCACATTGTTAACTGCAATGTGGAGCTAAACATAAAAAACATGGCTTACACTAAGTCACGAAATGTCAGAAATACAATTGTCTACCCATTATTATACTTTCTTTTAAACTTTGAATCTAGAATGCTCAGTGCTTGCTATGTGACCACTGGGACACTAATCTTCAGAAAATATTCAGTACTAGTTGAGGACCAAGAAGTTACTGGGCTCAATGTCAAAAGAAGTCAGACGTTTATAGTATTAAGGCATCTTTAGGCAAATTGATATAAGTGCAAGTTGCTCGTTCCTTAAAAATATTAAAATTATCAGTTTCATTCATTTTTTCAACTACACTTTGTGTCTACCATAACTAAAAGGATGTCAATATTGCATAATTCCCTTTTTCGAATGTGAAATCTTTATCTAATTTGATTATTTTTACGAAAGTTATTTCTTACAGGAAATCAACATATAATTGTGAATATATGGACATTTGTGATTCATGTAACTTATTTCGGTATATATAAACAAATAAAATAAGCACTGACATCAAATACAGTTATTGTGCAACCTTTCAAATATTATTGTCTATGTGGAGGTGATCGGCTAACGTTTAAGCTGTTTAGCTTTCACACAAACAGTATAACTCAAAACCTATTATACAAACCCATAATTCGGTAAGCGAATCTAATGAGAATGATGCGGACCAACTAGTATGGGTAATTAGTATTTCAATGGTCACCAAGCGGGGGTCCTATCGCATACTTTTCATGAATACAGCCTATTTATGATATGTAGTGCCGCGACTTTAGTCACCAATGAGCTCACGGCTGTGCTGGTTCCAGTCAAAGAACTTTTAAAGCGAATGCACTAGATTTTTCGAACTGCTTCGGCACTCCTTAGAAGTATATGCTGGCGACCTATGGCATTTTGCCTAAGATCGGTAGCTGGTACGAACCATCCACCAGCTCATAATCTCTTACTGCATCCAATTCATTGTACAGCGCAGCCTACTGGCGTTATATTTGGGTAACTGCTTCTTATCGAATTCTTTAACACTAGCTTCCAAAAAGCTTCGGGATATCTATGCTAGAGTAAGCAATATTAAACACAAGTTACTCTACTTGTTTAACTGCTATTGAGATCCACGATTTAAGTGTTATTCTAGACATTACGAACAGTTCTCCAGGTAGGATTGCAGACACGGTTTATATCTCATGATCCTAATGCTACGGACAACCGAGATCTTTTTTACCGGTTCCAGTTGAAAGACAATCTTGACTGCACAAAGAAGTTACAATGATACACCGGAATCAATTATTTAAACGGTGAAAAGTCTGCTATTCATTAATTTTTATGAGGATCGTTGATCGAGGTAGGCTTACACACGTACTGAAACATCCTCTGAAAAAGTAACGAAAATTTTGTAGGATTTTCTAGGCGGTGACATTTTAAAAACGGATTGATTTACTCAAGTTTAGATTTGATTAGTTTAAACATTCGAAGTACTTGACGAGATCAAACTTAACCCGAAATATGAAGAGAAGAAAACGCCCAGAAGAAACACATTGTAATCACTAATAATATAATGAGCAAAGTAGTCACAGTTATAAAAAGATTCCTTTTGAGCACAAGAAAGAAGAGAGAAAAGATATGTCCTTGTTAGTTGACCAAACGAACATATATTCCTATTAAAATACAAAGATGTTTGTCAATATGTACTTTTATGGAGTAAGTATTACATTCTTCAATTAAAACATTATTCCGGTTCCATGGGTTTTATCGTAAGAATTGATTTGGAAAATCCTCTTTAGTCTGGACAAAATCGAGGATGATCAACAAAATCATCACCATAGGCAAATATTGCTAAAGCAGAAAGAACTGAAGCTCCACCCCAGAATAGTACGTAAGTTGCTTTCTCTGTCCAATGAGCTGAAAACAGATATAAACCAAATAAAAAACTATAAGACTAATTTTCTTCGAAAATTTTCTACAAAATACAACTTTTACAGAATTACCATTGTTACAGGTTAGATAGTCCATCACAGGCAATACAAGACCTGAAGTAAGTATGCATAGATTTACGTTGCCATACCTCATATATGTACACAAAGAAATCTGAAACTAACCAACTCATTAGGGCTATTGTTAGTCAGTCAGTCAGTCAGTAACAACGTGGAACTTCGTACGTACGTACATCAGTTCGAGTTGCCATACCACATTGTTAACTGCAATGTGGAGCTAAACATAAAAAACATGGCTTACACTAAGTCACGAAATGTCAGAAATACAATTGTCTACCCATTATTATACTTTCTTTTAAACTTTGAATCTAGAATGCTCAGTGCTTGCTATGTGACCACTGGGACACTAATCTTCAGAAAATATTCAGTACTAGTTGAGGACCAAGAAGTTACTGGGCTCAATGTCAAAAGAAGTCAGACGTTTATAGTATTAAGGCATCTTTAGGCAAATTGATATAAGTGCAAGTTGCTCGTTCCTTAAAAATATTAAAATTATCAGTTTCATTCATTTTTTCAACTACACTTTGTGTCTACCATAACTAAAAGGATGTCAATATTGCATAATTCCCTTTTTCGAATGTGAAATCTTTATCTAATTTGATTATTTTTACGAAAGTTATTTCTTACAGGAAATCAACATATAATTGTGAATATATGGACATTTGTGATTCATGTAACTTATTTCGGTATATATAAACAAATAAAATAAGCACTGACATCAAATACAGTTATTGTGCAACCTTTCAAATATTATTGTCTATGTGGAGGTGATCGGCTAACGTTTAAGCTGTTTAGCTTTCACACAAACAGTATAACTCAAAACCTATTATACAAACCCATAATTCGGTAAGCGAATCTAATGAGAATGATGCGGACCAACTAGTATGGGTAATTAGTATTTCAATGGTCACCAAGCGGGGGTCCTATCGCATACTTTTCATGAATACAGCCTATTTATGATATGTAGTGCCGCGACTTTAGTCACCAATGAGCTCACGGCTGTGCTGGTTCCAGTCAAAGAACTTTTAAAGCGAATGCACTAGATTTTTCGAACTGCTTCGGCACTCCTTAGAAGTATATGCTGGCGACCTATGGCATTTTGCCTAAGATCGGTAGCTGGTACGAACCATCCACCAGCTCATAATCTCTTACTGCATCCAATTCATTGTACAGCGCAGCCTACTGGCGTTATATTTGGGTAACTGCTTCTTATCGAATTCTTTAACACTAGCTTCCAAAAAGCTTCGGGATATCTATGCTAGAGTAAGCAATATTAAACACAAGTTACTCTACTTGTTTAACTGCTATTGAGATCCACGATTTAAGTGTTATTCTAGACATTACGAACAGTTCTCCAGGT